GACAATTTTAAGGCATGTGGACTTCAACTCCCAGAATTCCACAGCCAGCATTGCTGGCTGTGGAATTCTGGGAGTTGAAGTCCACATGCCTTAAAATTGTCAAGGTTGAGAAGCACTGAGTTAGATGATGCTTGGGGGGGGATGTGCACGGAATTCAACTGTTGTTGTTAGTTGCGAATCGTGACCCCATGGGCAACATTCCTCCAGGTCTTCCTGTCCTCTACCATCTTCTGGAGTCCAATGAAGCTCACGCCTCCTGCTTCAGGGACTCCATCCAGCCCCCTCCTTCTCTGTCGTCTCCTTCTCTTGCCCTCCATCTTTCCCAGCATCAGGTTCTTCTCCAGGGAGTCCTTCCTTCTCCTTAGGTGGCCAAAGGACTTGAGTTTCCACTTCAGGATCTGGCCTTCTAAAGAGCAGTCAAGGTTGGTCTCCTCTAGGACTGACCGGTTGGATCGCCTTGCAATCCAGGGGACTCGCAGGGGTCTTCTCCAGCACTGTAGTTCAAAGGCCTCCATTCTTTGGCGCTCAGCCTTTCTTATGGTCCAGCTTTCACAGCCATATATTGCAACTTGGAAAACGGTTCAACGAGTTCAACTGGACAGAATAATACTGAACCTAGCATGAGAATCAAGGTTGTTGAAGTAAGAGAGGATAAGAATTGGCGGGCTGGAGGTCTGGAGGGAAAGCCTGTGTTTCAAGCTAATTGGAGAATGTGATTTATGACTGTTAATTGGAGGAGGGAATTGTGCTTTGATACTATGTGCTCAAGGGAGGAGGGGGGGAAATTCAGTTTTTGGCTTCGCTTATGTTCATGCCGATGTTATGCTTCTTGGATAAAAGATTCTTTGAGGTAAACAATGCCTCGAAGTTCTTTGAAGAGTTTCATCTGTTGGAACCACGACATTAAGCCAAAAACCAGATCCAGCCATGTAGTGCAGCCGTTCACTTAGTGATGATTCGAAGTATAAAATTCGTAGGCTGCCCGTTTTCACTTGGAAGGTGACCTACAGCCGTTTTTCACACCTGCATCCCCAGAGTCCCTTGATCCAAATTTAGGCACTTGGCAACCGGCATGTATAAAGTCCTCAGCATACTGCGATTCATTTAGTGACCGAAGTTACAGTGGTATTGGAAAAAACAACTGATTTACAGGCTGTTTTTTTGCACTTACGACCGTTGGAGCCTCCCCACGGTCACAGGGTCCTAATTCGGACACTTGGCAACTGACTCATACTTATGACTGTTGCAGCGTCCCAGAGGTCACGCGATCTTCTGGCAAGCAAAGTCAACAGGGTTCGCTTAACGACCGTGTCACTAACTCAACAGCTGCAGGGATTCGCTTAACAAGGGCGACAAGAAAGTAAAACGAGGCAAAACTCATTGGAAAAAAAATGTCTCACTTAGCAACAGAAATTTTGAGCTCAATTGTGGTCGTAAATCGAGGACCGATTGTCCCAATGGTAAAGTGTAAGAAATCAGGAGCCAGAGTGGTTCAAATGACTATTGGTTTATTGCACACTAAAGCTCTCTGCAACAGGGCTTTTCAACCTTTTCACCCATTGTACCACTTGTAGGATATGGCAATATCCAAGTACCACCAGTCGACGAGCAAGGGGTCAAAAACTTGACCAAAAAAGAGGGGGGAAATGATGAAGTACAGGTAGTCCTCGACTTACAACAGTTTGCTTAGTGACTGTTCGAAGTGACAATGGCCCTGAAAAAAGTGCCCCCCCAAGCCACAGCCGAGCAAGACACCTGCCCGCCCGCCCCGCAGCACTCTTCCTCCTGTCCCAGGTTTTTATGGTTGTGAGCGTTTCTGTTGAAGATTGGCAGTGGGGGTGGGGTGGGGGGGTGTTTGGTTTTTATTCCCCGCGTCTGCTGGGTGGTTGCAGCAGGTTTTGGTCACTTCCCATGACCCTGGGACACTGTGACCGTCATAAACATGAATCAGTTGCCAAGCATCAGAATGTAAATCACAAGACCCTGGAGATGCTGCAACATTCCAGCTGATCGGTGCTTCTTCTGGGCTCAGAAGCGCCAGGATCAGCGCCGAGCTCCAGCTGGAGCCTGGTGCTGATCCTGCCACTTCCGCTGAACCCTGACAGCCCTGCAGCTCCAGCGTCTCTCGCTCAGGCTTGTACGGTGCTGCCACCGGTTCAGCTCATTCCCCTCCCCTGCTACTTTTCTAAGATGGTCGTGTATCCCCTGCCAGGTGCCAATGTACCACAGGTGGTACCAGTCCCACTGGTTGAAAAGCCCTGATCTACAAGAAGGGTTGAGGAGAGGACTACCTGTATTCTTCTGGGGTTCTGCACAGGTCCTACTCCTAAGTAGACAGTTCACATTTGATTGAGTGGGAAGAAGAATCAAGATGAAGCACGGCTGCAGGAATTGGGTATGGCCAGTCTACAGAAAAGAAGGACGAGGGTTGACATGATAGCAATATTCCAATATCTCAGGGGCTGCCCCAAAGAAGAGGGAGTCAAGCTCTTCTCCAAAGCGCCTGAAGGCAAGACGAGAAGGAACGGATGGAAACTCATCAAGGAGAGAAGCAACCTGGAACTCAGGAGAAACTTCCTGACAGTGAGGACAATTGATCAGTGGAACTACTTGCCTCCAGAAGTTGTGGATGCTCCAACATTGAACGTTGTTAAGAAGAGACTGGACAATCCCTTGTCTGGAATGGTATACTATAGGGTCTCCTGCCTGAGCAGGAGGTTGGACTAGATGACCTCCGAGGTCTCTTCCAACTCTGTTCTGTTTTCCAAAGCACCAGAAGGCCGGACAAGAAGCAATGGATGGAATCTGATCAAGGAGAGAAGCAACCTGGAATTAAGGAGGAATTTCCTGACAGTCGAGGACAATTAAATCAGTGGAACTGCTTGCCACCGGAAGTTGTGGGTGCTCCATCACTGGAGGTTCTCCAAGAAGAGACTGGACAGCCACTTGTCTGAAATGGTATAGGTCAATGATGGCGAACCCGAGTGCCCAAAAACTGGCCCCGCCCCTATCCCACCTGCCCGCAGGCCCCGCCGCAGATTGCCCAGGCAGCCCAGCAGCACCATGGCGGCCCCGCCCTCTGCCCATGCCCCGCAGCATCAACTGTACGGGATGGGGCGTGAGAGCAGAGTCTTGTCTACATACTGCCTAGCTGCCATGTCCACCTAGCCCGCCGAAATGCAGTTGGACCCGGCGAGGCTAGGACGCCCACAAATCACGCTGGAACTGCAAATGGAGCCGGGTGCCCCCTGTTGACGCCAGCGGCACCTCCTGATGACGTCGGACATCAGCGCCACCACAATGGCGCAGGAAGACGCGGGGCGGCGGAATGGCGAACGGAAGCCTCCCCGGAACTGTAAGCAGGTAGCAGCTCCGGTCGGCAAGGCCTCGCAGGGTCTGACACTTGGCTGCGCTGCTCCGCGTGGCCCACGCTCAGGGGTGATTCTCCTCCAAGGGAGCTGCTGGTGAGGGGGTCGTGGGGGAGGCGAGGCTGGGGCAACGGCACGCGTGCCCACAAAGAGGGCTCCGAGTGCCGCCCTTGGCACCCGTGCCATAGGTTCGCCACCACTGGTATAGGTTCTCCTGCTTGAATTGGGGGTGCTGGTCTAGAAGACCTCCAAGGTCCCTTCCAAGGTCTATTCTATCCTAGTAATAGTTCCATGAGGTGCTTTCGGACCCCTCCATGGAACCGCTCTCAGGGTAGGTTGAGGTATCAACAGTAGCCCAATGATACAGGTAGTCCTCAAGTTACGACCACAACTGAGCCCCGAATTTATATGGCTAAGTAAAACGGTCAAAACAAATGGGCGGTAGATAAGAGTGAACGGAATTCTAGGTGGGCTGAACTTAAGATCTCTTGTAGGTGCGAAGGGATTCGAGGCTAATGACACGCTTAACCCCTCCCCTTGTCTCAGGCTACACTGGCTGATGTTTTATTTCTGGGTCCGGCTCATAGTCCTGACTTACCTTGGGTTAACTTGGGGTTGGGATCTACAAGTGAATAAAATGGAACAAAACTTTTATTGATTTATAACGCAGCATGACATTCTTATTTTCTATTAATTTCCAAATGTCTTAAATTGTGCTTACGCGGCACTATTAATTGGTTGGTGTAAGATGGTGACAAATAGGAACATATTCAAGTAGATAAGACGTGTGTCCCGAACATCAGATTTTGTTGATGAATTGGGATCAAGGGAACTGTGGTTGTTTAAAACTTGGAAACGATGAATATTAAATGTTAAATTCAAACATTAATGGGAAACTAAACATTGGGAAAAACTAACTAGGACATTGATAAGTCTGTAAAGATTGAATGTTAAAATAATTAGGATACGTATAAACTAAACACTATGGATCAATGTAAGGAAGTTTATTTAATTGATATAATAAGAATTGTATTGGTTTAAACATGAGACAGTAAAAATTCCATATTCTGTTCCATTCCATATTATGTGCCATTCCTTGTTCTGTTCTATTCTATTCTATTCTATTCTATTCTATTCTATTCTATTCTATTCTATTCTATTCCTTATTCTATTCTATCCTATCCTATCCCCTATTCTATTCTATCCTATACTATCCTATCCCCTATTCTATCCTATCCTATCCTATCCTATCCTATCCCCTATTCTATCCTATCCTATCCTATCCTATCCTATCCCCTATTCTATTCTATTCTATTCTATTCTATCCCCTATTCTATTCTATTCTATCCCTTATTCTATTCTACTCTACTCTACTCTACTCTACTCTATTCTGTTCTATCCCTTATTCTGTTCTATTCTACTCTACTCTACTATACTCTACTCTATTCTATCATACACGTACCATAGTACTGTGTGCTCCTTCTGTGCTCTGTTATCCATGTGCTTTGTGCCATATGCTAAATAAACAAACAAAAACTGGACCCTGGAGACGATCCTTTTTGAGTCTCTCCTCCCTGTCTTCCGAACAGAGGTCACCCTGGTGACAAAGCGTCTTTTTTTATGTTTTGACAGAGGCTTACGTGCCCATTCGTCCTCTTGTGGCATGGGGTGAGTTGCTTCTACGTGCCAGGAGTGGCTCCCATCAATTTCCACCGGAACGCTCCTGTAGAAATCAAGGTAAGATGGCACCGAGTTTAATGTCCTCTATAACTTGACCCGGTTTAGAATCCTGGCCAAGTCTGATTGTAGTAGTTTGTCATCCCCCCCGAAAAAGAAAGAAAAAATTAAATTTTCCTTTCTGCAGACGGCTGCATTTCTTAAAGTGACCCTACTTGAAGACTGGGCGCTATCTAACAAAATAAAATTCAGTGGTGAAAAAAGTACATCTACATTTAGGCAAGAAAAACCAAATGCACAGGTGTAGTATAGGGGGTAACTTGCTCAATAGTAGCAACTGTGAGAGGGATCTGGGAGTCCTAGTGGACAATCCCTTAAATAGGAGCCAGCCGTGTGCTGCAGCTGCCAAAAAGGCCAACACAGTGCTAGGCTGCATCAACAGAGGGACAGAATCAAGATCACGTGAAGTGTTAATACCACTTTACAAGGCCTTGGTAAGGCCACACTTGGAATACTGCATCCAGTTTTGTTCAACACAATGTAGAAAATATGTTGAGACTCTAGAAAGAGGGCAGAGAAGAGCAACAAAGATAATCGGGACTGGAGGCTAAAACATAAGGAACGGCTGCTGGAATTGGTTATGTCCAGTTTAATGAAGGATGAAGAGGGACAGGATAGCAGCCTTCCAATCTCTCAGGGGCTGCCCCAAAGAAGAGGCAGTCAAGCTATTCTCCAAAGTGCCTGAAGGCAGAACAAGAAGCAACAGATGGAAACTCATCAAGGAGAGAAGCAACCTGGAATTAAGAAGAAACTTCCTGACAGTGAGAACAATTACCAGTGGAACTACTTGCCTCCAGAAGCTGTGAATGCTCCAACGCTGGAGGTTTTTAAGAAGAGACTGGACAGCCATTTGTCCGAAATGGTATAGGGTTTCCTGCCTGAGCAGGGGGTTGGACTAGATGACCTCCAAGGTTACTTCCAACTTTATTATTATTAGGGTGGTTGAAAACTGGAGAATACTGGGAGTAATAGTCCCAATAGACCTGCACAAAACCTCACCAGGGGGAGGCTGATCTTTTGCCCACATTGCCAGAGGGGTTACATTCCTGCTAACTTTTAGTGGTTGCAGGTCCAGTTACGCCATGTGTTAACGTTGAGAGTGCCACAGATTGCTTTGTGTGGTTTTTCTGACTCACGGCAAGCAGTCTCGCCTGTTAAGCCTTTCAAATATTTTAATTGACGTGGGAAAAGATGCTTTCACCTGTTGATCCTTTCACCTGCTTAGTTTCAGCTTTGCTCTCCCCCCCCCCCCCCCCGGAGCAGGGGAATTTACAGATTTTGACCTGAAACTGTTTTTCTCCTGACTCATTGTAGCTGTAAGGCAAGGAAAGGAATCTAAAAAGAAAAAGAAGAAACAGAATGTTATCAAACTTGGGACCTGCTTTACCGATGGTTAGAGCAGTGGTTCTCAACCTTTTTAATGCCGCGAACCCCAACCAGTCGTACGTCGAGGACTACTCAACCGGTCGTAAGTCGAGGACTACTCAACTGGTGCAGCACCGTTTGCAGAATGGGACTTTTGGCGGGCTCAGCAGGGCAGAGACAGCCTGGACAATTCCGATTGGCTTTTGAAAGCCAATAGAATTAGACTCTATTCAAGAGAGTCTATTCTATTGGCTTTCAAAAGCCAACAGAATAAAAGGGAGTAGCACAGCTAAGGAAAAGGGGGGAAAAAATGGCGGGCTGCGTTGTTTGGCGACCCCCGTGAAATGGTCGTTCGACCCCAAATGGAGTCCCGACCCACAGGTTGAGAACCACTGGGTTAGAGGAAAGAATAAAGGATTAGGAATTCAATATGTATTAGTGTATTTAAACTCAGACAGCAAATTTACTCTTATATTTATGGGAAAAAATTAATACCATCTTACATAAAATAAAATGAAAAGAAGACTGGATCGTTATACAAATTACAGAAGAATAAAAGTTATTTCTGGTCTGTTCAGTTACCTTACAGGGATAACTGTGGATATGTGAAGGGTTTTGAGTGAATTTCCTTCAATCTGGCCCCCTTTAGATATTATAGCTTCAGATATTATATTATGGATTATAGCTTCCATCATTCCCGCTCAATCTAGGTGATTTTCTTGTTATGGATGCCGGATCTTTCACAACTGAGTAATTCTGGTCACAGAATGTACCCACTAGAAACGGAAGATATTGCCTTTCAGCATTTCAGCATTTTGGAATATATGCAATCAAATACTGCAGGAAGTTATATAACAAAAAAAAAAAGCTTCTTTCGACGTGTAAAAAACAAGAAAAAAGTGAAGGAAATGATTGGTCCATTAGTGGGGGAAAGTGGCAAGAAGGTGACAAGCAACAGGGAGAAAGCAGAACTATTTAACTCATTTTATGCATCTGTCTTTACACAAAGGGAAAAAACAGTCCAACCTATGGAAAATAGTGCCGTAAAAAACAGACTAGAAACACAAGATCGGGAAAAAGATGGTAAGTGAGCACCTGTCCAGCCTAGACGAGTTCAAATCGCCAGGACCAGATGGATTACACCCCAAGGTTCTCCAGGAACTGGCAGATGTGATCTCAGAACCACTGAACTATATTTTTCAAAGATCCTGGAGCACTGGGGAACTACCGGAGGACTGGAAAAGAGCTGATGTAGTTCCCATCTTCAAAAAAGAGAAAAAAATAGATCCAGAAAACTACAGTCCTATCAGCCTGACCTCAGTACCTGGGAAGATCCTGGAAAAGATAATCAAACAACGAATCAGCAAACACCTAGAAGCAAACAAAGTCATTAATAAAAGCCAACATGGGTTTGTCAAAAACAGATCATGCCAGACAAATCTTATTGTATTCTTTGACCAGGTGACAAAATTAGTGGACCAGAGGAATGCTGTGGATATCATTTACTTGGACTTCAGTAAGGCATTTGATAAAGTAGACCACAGCCTACTATTCAATAAGATAGAAAAATGCGGGTTAGACAGCATCACCACCAGATGGATTCGTAGCTGGCTGACCGGCCGTACTCAGCGTGGGATCCTCAATGGAACCGCATCTACATGGAGGGAAGTGTGTAGTGGGGTGCCCCAGGGCTCTGTTCTGGGCCTAATGCTCTTCAACATGTTCATCAGTGATTTGGATGAGGGGATAGATGGGGAACTCATCAAATTTGCAGATGACACCAAGCTGGCAGGAATAGCCAACACTCCCAGAGACAGGCTTAGGATACAGGAGGATCTGGACACATTTGAACACTGGGCGCTATCTCACAAAATGAAATTCAGTAGTGAAAAAAGTAAGGTTCTACATTTAGGCAAGAAAAACCAAATGTACAGATATAGTATAGAGGATACCTTGCTCAATAGTAGCAACTGTGAGAGGGACCTCAGAGTCCTAGTGGACAATCACTTAAATAGGAGACAGCAACCTGCCTCCAGAAGCTGTGAGTGCTCCAACACTGGAAGTTTTTAAGAAGAGATTGGACAGTCATTTGCCCGAAATGGATAGGGTTTCCTGCCTCAGCATAGGGTTGGGCTAGATGACCTCCATAGTCCCTTCCAACTTTATTAATGCAGTTGTTGTTATCTTCTCTAAAACCACAAATGGCCAGAATTTGGGGTGATTAGCAGCCTCTTAGATTGTGCTTATTCATGCATGGGACAGTTGTTGCTGTTTATGATGTCTGAACCTTAGAATGAATGAAGATTGATTGATAGATTGATTGAATGAATGAATGAATGAATATAGGGTAAATAAATAGCGAGTAAATTAACACAGCTTTGCTTCATTAAAGCCATTCTACTGTCCAGCAAGCTGCATTGATCTACAATGAGTTCCCCAAGCTTGCACTGTCCCGTCTGGTAGAATTCTAGGGCACATTCAGTGTATGGGGAAAGTATTTGGGGCAGATTGACTATAGATTCTCATGTGGGTCATTCACCATTATACCTTTGCTGTATGCCAGGGGTCCTCAAACTTGGCCCTTTGATGACTGGTGGACTTCAACTCCCAGAATTCCTCAGCCAGGCATGCATGCCTGGCTGAGGAATTCTGGGAGTTGAAGTCCACCAGTCATCAAAGGGCCAAGTTTGAAGACCCCTGCCATGCAGTATGAGGCAATTTAAAAGCTCAGTAAGTCCAATAATTCAGCGATTATAGGAAATATATACTAGCTTTTCTAACCTGATCCCTTCCAGATGTATTTGAGTACAGCTGTTGCCAAACCCCCCCCCCCACATATCTCCTAACACTTGTTTGTTTTACAGGCACATGATTGTTTAAAATTACATTGGACTTCCCTGGGAAGGGATACTTGTGACCTAGGGTTATGGTAGGCAGGCAGGCAGGCAGATGAGGGGGGGGGGGGGAGAGACAGACAGAGACAGGATAGACAGACAGACAGATAGATAAATAGGTAGATGATAGAGGGGGACGTACAGAGAGATGATACAGGAGATGATAGATAGATAGATAGATAGATAGATAGATAGATAGATAGATAGATAGATAGATAGATAGATAGATAGATAGATAGACAGACAGACAGACAGACAGACAGACAGACAGACAGACAGACAGACAGACAGACAGTTGATAGAGGATAGAAGATAGATAGATAGATAGATAGATAGATAGATAGATAGATAGATAGATAGATAGATAGATAGATAGATAGATAGATCAGACAGACAGACAGACAGACAGACAGACAGACAGTTGATAGAGGATAGATAGAAGATAGATAGATAGATAGATAGATAGATAGATAGATAGATAGATGATAGATAGATAGATAGATAGATAGATAGATAGATAGATAGATCAGACAGACAGACAGACAGACAGTTGATAGAGGATAGATAGAAGATAGATAGATAGATAGATAGATAGATAGATAGATAGATAGATAGATAGATAGATAGGATGGACAGAGACAGACAGACAGACAGACAGATAGATAGATAGATAGATAGATAGATAGATAGATAGATAGATAGATAACAGGAGGTAGATGATAGAGGGTACGTATAGAGATGATAAGAGATGATACAGAAGATAGATAGATAGATAGATAGATAGATAGATAGATAGATAGATAGATAGATAGATAGATATGGATAGATAGATAGATAGATAGATAGATAGATAGATAGATAGATAGATAGATAGATAGAGACAGACAGACAGACAGATAGATAGAAAGATATGGATGGATAGATAGAGAGACAGACAGACAGACAGACAGATAATGATAGACAGATATATTAGATAGACCTATAGATCAGATTAGACAGAGAGACAATAACAGTGCTCCCAGCCAAAGGTCTGTAATGTTTTGTCTATAAACAGACTTTATTTGGGGGGGTGAAAGGAGGAGGATCAGGGGATCCTCCACTGGGATCCACTCTGATGTGAGGATTTGGGACAGACAGCCTCTCTTTCTCTCTCTCTCTTTTTCCCAGGCTGTGAAACTCACCAGTTCGCGGACACAGTTACCGTACGAGTATTACTCTCTGCCCTTCTGCCGGCCGGACACCATCAAATATAAAGCTGAAAATTTAGGTAATGCCCCAGTCCGCCTTGCCCTAGCATCGCCTTCCACCTGCCGTATTGTCCAGGTGCTGGCACTTCTCGTTTGGCGTCCCTGAAGATGGACACCTCTGGGTATCGGATCTCCAGCACCCCTTAGCAATAGCGCTTAGGCTTATCTACTGCTCCACAGTGCTTCACAGCCTTCTCTGAGCAGTTTACAGAGTCAGTCTATTTGCCCCCAACAATCTGGGTCCTCATTTCACCAACCTCAGAAGGGTGGAAGGCTGAGTCAACCTTGAGCCAGGCACACTGAAGAATTCTGGGAGTTGAAGTCCACCAATCATGCTCTTTTTTTCCAGAATGTTCCTTCAAGATTTCCTCAAAATACTCATACCTGCCTTACATATTCTATAGAACAGGGATCTTCAAACGTGGCCCTTCGATGACTGGTGGACTTCAATTCCCAGAATTCCTGAGCCAGGCACGCTGGCTGAGGAATTCTGGGAGTTGAAGTCCACAAGTCATGAAAGGGCCAAGTCTGAAGACCCCTGGTTTAGGACTACATGCCTGTATTGCATTCTTTATGAGGGGAAAAACAGCAGAAATCTTACCCTTGTTCTACATTTAGTGATAATTACCTCTCTTCCAGCTGTGGAGCCACAAAGCAGCCCACAAAAACCTGAACTAGGCCTCTGTCTATTCTTTTTTTTCCAGAATGTTCCGTCAAGATTTCCTCAAAATACTTTTACCTGCCTTCTATAGCAGGGGTCTTCAAACCTGGCCCTTTAATGACTGGTGGACTTCAACTCCCAGAATTCCTCAGCCAGGCACGCTGGCTGAGGAATTCTGGGAGTTGAAGTCCACAAGTGGGGTCTTCAAACTTGGCCCTTTGATGACTTGTGGACTTCAATTCCCAGAATTCCCTAGTTGGGTAAGGAAACATAGTCATTAGGAGTCAAGATTGACTTGACGAATCACGCCTGTCTGGCTGAGGAATTCTGGGAGTTGAAGTCCACCAGTCATCAAAGGGCCCAGTTTGTATGTAGGTCTTTGGTTATTCGGGGTTTCTCCCGCGTCAAATTGGAAGTGTCTTGGTGACGTTTCGACGAAGTCCCATTTGTCATTTCAGGCTGGTGTTTTCAGCTTCGTGCTTCAAGGAGCAATGTGAAGCACGAAGCTGAAAACACCAGCCTGAAGATGACGAATGGGACTTCGTCGAAACATCGCCAAGACACTTCCAATTTGACGCGGGAGAAACCCCGAATAACCAAAGACCTACATATACATATACATATATGTGTGTGTGTGTGTGTGTGTGTGTGTGTGTGTTTTCTGAGGTTTTATATATAAATATATAAAATTTATAAGCATATTTCAAATTTATTTATACATTTATATATAAGCCAAATATATTTGCGTCAATAGCTCTTTGTTTTGCCCCTAAGGTTTGAATCTCTGAATTGTTTTCTTCTTCTTCCACCCCTGCCTGGCCTTGCTCACAGGGGAGGTCCTGAGAGGAGATCGCATTGTCAACACGCCCTTCGACGTTTCCATGAACGTGGAAAAGAAGTGCAAGGTGTTGTGTCATGTCTCAAACAAGCCCCAGATGTTGACCAAGGAGAGCAGCCAACTGGTGGTGGAACGGATCCAGGAAGAATATTACGTTCACCTGTGAGTTCTCCTGACCTCAAAATAAGCGGCGCTCTGCCTTGCCTCCGGTGGGGCTGGGTGAGTCCTTTAGAGGAAGGGGTCCCCAACCTGTGGGCCGCTGCCCATTACCGGTCCGTGGCCTCTTCGCAACTGGGCCACAGGCACAGCCTCCCTCACCCCAGCATTGCGGGATCTTGCTCGGGCGAGCGTTGTGGCCGCTTGGGACCTCACTCACATGAGCATCCCGGCCGTTCAGGGCCTAACACTAGCATCGTAGCTGTTGGGGGCCTCACTCACACGAGCATCGGGACAACTCAGGGCCTCACTCACACGAGCATCGGGGCCTGACACGAGCATCGTGGTCACTCGGAACCTCACTCATCCAAGTATCATGGTCACTTGGGGCCGCACATGAGCATCGGGGCTGCCCGGGGCCTCACTCACATGGGCATTGGGGCCTCACATGAGTCTTGGGACACTCACATGTGCATCGGGGCCTCACTCACATGAGCATTGTGGCTGCTTGGGGCCCCACTCACATGAGCCTTGGGGCCCCACTCACACGAGCCTTGGGGCCACACTCACATGAGCTTTGGGGCCACACTCACATGAGCATCCCGGCCATTCAGGGCCTAACACTAGCATCGTAGCTGTTGGGGGCCTCACTCACACAAGCATCAGGACAACTCAGGGCCTGACTCACACGAGCATCAGGGCCTGACAGGAGCATCGTGGTCACTCAGGACCTCACTCATCCGAGTATCGTGATCACTTGGGGCCGCACATGAGCATCGGGGCTGCCCGGGGCCTCATTCACATGAGCATCGGGGCTGCCCGGGGCCTCACTCACATGGGCATTGGGGCCTCACTCACATGAGCATCAGGGCCTCACATGAGCATCGGGGCCTCACATGAGCATCGGGGCCTCACTCACATGAGCATTGTGGCTGCTTGGGGCCTCCCTCACATGAGCCTTGGGGCCCCACTCACATGAGCTTTGGGGCCCCACTCACATGAGCTTTGGGGCCTCACTCACATGAGCCTTGGAGCCCCATTCACAGCCTTGGAGCCGCACTCACTCACATGAGCCTTGGGGCCTCATTCACATGAGCCTTGGGGCCCCACTCACATGAGCCTTGGGGCCCCACTCACATGAGCTTTGGGGCCTCACTCACATGAGCCTTGGAGCCCCACTCACAGCCTTGGAGCCCCACTCACTCACATGAGCCTTGGGGCCACCGGGTCCTCACACGAGCGCCGCAAGTGCTCTTGGCCCCACTTGCACGAGCAGCGGGTGCTCGTGCGTGCACGCGCCTACCCCTCCCACAAAACCATCCCCTCTTTCTCCCCTCTCCTGGAAAGATTGGGGGGGCTCTGCTTTAGAGTGGAGGGGAGACCGTGGGTCTGACCACCCCAGGATTTGTCCCTGCAGCATTGCCGACAACTTGCCGGTGGCCACGAGGCTGGAATTCTTCTCAAACCGCGAAGAGGAGGAGAAGAACAAAGACCGAGACCTTCAGTTTGAACATGGCTACCGACTTGGGTTCATGGAGAAGAACAGGGTAGGGGGACCAGGGACCATTGTGTGTGTGAGTGTGTGTGTGTGTGTGTGTGTGTGTGTGCGCGCGCGCGTGCACGCTTGAGGGGGCCTTTTGCTCTCTCCCTTCATTCCAGTTACCCTCGACTTAGGATTCCCAAATTCTGGGACCAGAATTTCCGTGGCTAAGCCAGGAGGTAATTCATTGGGCCTTTTTTATTTTTTGACCTGGTTGTTAAGCGAATCACTGCACTTGTTAAGAGAATCCTGCGGTCGTTAAACGAATCTGACTTTTCCCACTGAGTTTGCTTGTCAGAAGCTGGTTAGGAAGGCCGCAAATGGCGATCACACGACCTACAACTGTAGTAAGTACATCCTGGCTGCCAAGTGCCAAAGCTTTGATCACGCGGCCTCGGGGATGTTGTGACGGTCATAAGTGCGAGGACTCGTTGTAAGCAACCTTTTTTTTTCCTTGGGTCCATTGCAACTTGGAACGGTCACTAAAAGAGTTGTAAATCAAGGACTATCTATATTGGGTGGGTTCCAGTCAGTATTTCCCAACGTTGGGCCTTTGAAGATGGGTGGCCTTCAACTCCCAGAATTCCCCAGCCAGCCTAGCTGGCTGAGGAATTCTGGGAGTTGAAGGCCACCCATCTTCATGTGGGCAGCCTTGAGAAACACCCTTTTAACTAGATAGGGCCCTCTCTCTCTCTCTCTCTTGGCCTCTATGATGTTAAAAATAAGGAATTGTGAGTCCTGCTCAAACCCCCAGTAAAAAAAAAACCCAATAAAGATTACAGCAACCTGATGAGTTGTGCTCCAGAAGGGTGTGTCTCCCGGTCACACAACGGATTAGTGTTACCTTTACCGCACGCCGCAGATTGGTGCAAGCCAATGGAAGGTGGGTAATTCTCCCTTGTGGTAAGTGGGAGAATGGGGAAATAACTTTCCTTCAGCCGGTGGAAACAAAGGCGAGGCACATTTATCTCTTTTTCTTCCTGCCATATTTAATTTCTTTTTTTTTCTTTTTAAAGAAACACTTGGCAAATTTCCCTCCCACTGCAGTCAGGAGGAGGGTCCAGTTAACGGCCATGAACGAGCCCCAAATTTATATTGCGGAGTAAAACATTTCTGAAGGGAAGTTGGTCCCATTTTCTGACTTGACTTGTCACATTTGTTAAGTGAATTAATTCGATTCGCTAAGTGAGTCACAGGCAATCTGGCTTCCACCCCCCCCCCATTGAGTTGGCTGGTCAGAAGGTGTTGGAAGGGGGTCCCGTGACCCGCCCCCCCCCCCCCGGGACCCTGCGACCGTCATAAATAGGAGTCAGGGTGAAAATGATCCGAATTTTGATCAGGTGATTGTGGGGATGCTGCAATGGCCGTAAGCCTGAAAAGGGGTCATCCAAAGCACCGTTGTCAGGGACGTAACTTCAAAACGGTCGCTAAATGAACTGTTGTAAGTTGAGGACTGCCTGTGTGATATTCTGTCATTCACAAGTACACTGAGTGGGGTCTGTGCCAGAGACAAATTCCTTGTGTGTCTAACCACACTTGGCCAAATAAAATATAAGTATAATCTGCTATAGCAAAGGACCCCAACCTTTTGGGCACCAGGGACCAGTTCCATGGAGAGAGGTTTTTCCGCAGACCGGAGAGTGTGTGGTTTTGTGTGCTGCCTGCATCCTACAGGTGGAGCTTTGTTTGTTTGTGTGGCCTGGTGGCTGGCATGCTGTGGCCCGGTGCCGGTCCATGGACCAGGGTGTTGGGGACCCCGGGCTATAGAACTCCAGTAGGCGTTTCATGGAATCCTGGCTATCGTGGACCACAGTTTGAAAAACTATCTCAGAGGGGTTTTTCCAGAGACTATCCGGGAAAAACTGCCCCACAGTCTACTCCAAAGTCTAGTCCCCCCCCCCCCAGGGTCTATGATAATTCACCGTAGCCAATCAATTGGAATAGAGCTGGAAGGGACCTTGGAGGTCTTCTAGTCCAGCCCCTTGCTCAGGCAGGAGAACCTATACCATCTAGACAGGTGACTCTCCAGTCTCTTCTTGAAAATCTCCAGTGATGGAACACCCACGATTTCTGGTGGCAAGCTGTTCCACTGGTTAATTGTCCTCACTGTCAGGAAGTGTCTCTTCAATTCCAGGTTGCTTCTCTCCTTGACCAGTTTCCAACTGTTGTTTCTCGTCCTTCCCTCTGGTGAACAAAGTGACCCCCTCTCCCTTGTGGCAGCCTCTCAAATACTGGAATCCTGCTGTAATGTCTCCCCTATTTCTTCTTTTCTTTAGACTAGCCTAGGGGTAGGCAACCTTGGCTCTTTTATGGACTTCAATTCCCAGAATTCCTGAGCCAGCCATGCTGAGGGGAAAGGGAGGGGTTTCCAAGCTGAGCCATGCTGGCTCAGGAATTCTGGGAGTTGAAGTCCACGAGTCATGAGGGAGCCATAGTTCCCCCATGCTGGCTCAGGAATTCTGGGAGTTGAAGTCCACGAGTCATGAGGGGGCCATAGTTCCCCATGCTGGCTCAGGAATTCTGGGAGTTGAAGTCCACGAGTCATGAGGGGGCCATAGTTCCCCCATGCTGGCTCAGGAATTCTGGGAGTTGAAGTCCATGAGTCATAAAAGAGCCAAGGTTGCCTACCCCTGGACTAGCCAAACCCAAGTCCCGCAGCCGTTCTTCGTCTATTTTAGTCTCCAGGCCTTGGATCGTCTTCGTTGCTCTTCTCTGAACTTTTTCCAATAGTCTCAACATCTTTTTTGTAGTATGGTGACCAAAATTGGTTGCAATCTTAAAATATTTGTGTTTTTTTTTTTAAAAAAATTATTTTAAATAATGAAATTGAATGGTTCAATTGTCCCGTGGCGAGTTGCCCGTGGCGAGTTGCGCTCTTCCGCTTCCCCTGTTCCGGGCCTTCTAATGTGTATTTCCCTGTCCTCTGTTCTAGTTCTTCCTGCACAACCATCTTTCCTTCATCCTTTACTACCACCGAGAGGAGGTGGAGGAGAGCCAGGAGCCCACCTATCGGGTGGTTCGCTTCGAGGTCATCCCGCAGAGCATCGCAATGGCAGGTAAGAGGGCCCTGCGGCTCTTCTCGGTTCGGTCTGAGCTGCCCCGGGCTCAGTCGTGGCCAAAATGGTGGAAACCTTTTGGGAAAAGTGTACAGTAGAAATGCCCCCTTGGGTTAAGTTTCCACCCATGTTTCTTCTAATTTCTTTATAACTGTAGCCTCGTTCATTTAATAATTCTATTTTACATCGCTTTCTGGGCGACCGGTCAACTCTTTGCACCATGACTTTAATTTTATTATGTTTTACAAGCTCACTCAATGAAAGAACACAAAAAACCCCAGTGTAAGGACCCACCCCACTTTGCATCTTAAGAAGACAGAACTCTTGGAATAATTCTTCCAACAGGAATCCTTTATTAAGAGAAAATGGTTGCAGGCGTTCTAGACAGGACTTGGGGTTCAAGCTCTCCCATTCGAGGTTTTAAGGGGTTCCCCAGTAGTCCCACCCAATCACCCCCCTCTTCCAGTGACAGTTTCAGGCATCACAATCCCACCCCTTTTTTCCTTTCTTCCGGCTGGATGGAGACTTCAGATAAACTACATGAAAGGTAAATAGCCTCCTTTGTTATGGTAAGGCCTTTTGGTGCTAACCACATTCAATCCCTTTGAAGTTGTACCAAAGGAAGTGAGGGCCATAAAGCCCCTTTGTTCACCCCCTTCTCTTTCTTTATGACAGAATCCAGAGAGGGCAGAAATGGGGTTTTCTATAATTGATAACTGGAGATGAAGTATAATTGGATTCTGACACCCAGCCAACTGGATAGCGATCACATAACTCACTGACAAATGTCCTCCTCTCAGCTTCAATACGTGACATCGATAACCGGATCCTGCTGTGATCTGATTGGCTCATGGCCAAAACAAGATGACACCCGATTGGCTCTCGAAACATTCGTGCTCATTGGCTCCCATCGGAGGAAGGAAAGCTACCTGAGATCAACCTAAGCGAGTTGTGCTTCCTTTTTCTGGTTATTTGGCTATAACTTTTCATAGACTACATTACGGATAATTGAACAAACTATGTTGCATGACATTCTCGATTAAATGATCTTTCCATTGATAATATCATTTGATGGTACTGCTCCCCCCCAAAAAAAGTGGCGTTATTAGCCATCCAACCGCAAAAAATACACTTTTCCCAAAAGGTTTCCACAATTTTGGCCACGACTGTATACAGGGGAAATCTTTGGCCAAAGAAAGATTAGCTGTCCTGACTCTTTTCTTCGATCCGCAGACATGAAGGTGGACGAGAATGGGGTCTGTGTCCTGCCTGAAGCTGGCAGCGCGTCCGCTCAAGAAATCGACCCGAATAAGCCAAATGAGCTTTTTTTCACCTATTCTGTGCACTGGGAGGTGAGTAATGGAGCTGGGCAGGAAAGGGAAGAGATTCTCATCCCGCCTTTATCACGTTAAAATTTAACTCAAGGCAGCAAACCTACCGAATACCCCTTCCCCCTTTTATTTTCGCCACAAGAAGAACCCACCCTGTGAGGTGGGTTGAGCTGAGAGAGAATGACGGGCCCAAAGTCATCCAGCCAGCTTTCTTTCCTAAGGCAGGACTAGAACTCACAGCCACCTGGTGATTGGCCCAAAGTCACCCAGCTGGCCTTCGTGTCTAAGGCGGGACTAGAACTCACTGTCTCCTGGTGATTGGCCCAAAGGCGCCTGGCTGGCCTTCATGGCTAAGGTGGGACTAGAACTCACTGTCTCCTGGTGATTGGCCCAAAGTCACCCAGCCAGCTTTCATGCCTAAAGCGGGACTACAACTCACCGACTCCTGGTGATTGGCCCAAAGTCACCCAGCTGGCCTTCGTGTCTAAGGCGGGACTAGAACTCACTGTCTCCTGGTGATTGGCCCAAAGGCGCCTGGCTGGCCTTCATGGCTAAGGTGGGACTAGAACTCACTGTCTCCTGGTGATTGGCCCAAAGTCACCCAGCCAGCTTTCATGCCTAAAGCGGGACTACAACTCACCGACTCCTGGTGATTGGCCCAAAGTCACCCAACTGGCCTTCATGCCTAAGGCGGGACTACAACTCACCGACTCCTGGTGATTGGCCCAAAGTCACCCAACTGGCCTTCGTGCATAAGGCGGGACTAGAACTCACCGACTCCTGGTGACTGATCCAAAGTCACCCAGCTGGCTTTTATGCCTAAGGCGGGACTAGAACTTACTGTCTCCTGGTGATTGGCCCAAAGTCACCCAGCAGACTTCCCTGCTTAAGGCAGGACTAGCTCACCGACTCCTGGTGATTGGCCCAAAGTCACCCAGCAGACTTTCATGCTTAAGGCGGGACTAGAACTCACCGTCTCCTGGTGACTGATCCAAAGTCACCCAGCTGACTTTCATGCCTAAGGCGGGACTAGAACTCACTGTCTCCTGGTAATTGGCCCAAAGTCACCCAGCTGGCCTTCGTGCCTAAGGTGGGACTAGAACTCACTGACTCCTGGTGATTGGCCCAAAGTCACCCAGCCGGCTTTCGTGCCTAAGGCGGGACTAGAACTCACCGACTCCTGGTGATTGGCCCAAAGTCACCCAGCAGACTTTCATGCTTAAGGCAGGACTAGAACTCACCGTCTCCTGGTGATTGTCTCAAAGTCACCCAACTGGCCTTCGTGCCTAAGGCGGGACTAGAACTCACCGACTCCTGGTGACTGATCCAAAGTCACCCAGCTGACTTTCATGCCTAAGGCGGGACTAGAACTCACCGTCTCCTGGTGATTGGCCCAAAGTCGCCCAGCTGGCCTTCGTGCCTAAGGCGGGACTAGAACTCAGAATCTCCTAGTTTCCAGGCCAGTTCCTTAACCACTACACCAAGCTAGTTCTCAGTTTTCAGTGCTTTCTCAGGATCTCTAAAAATGGCCCTCCGAGCTGGCTCAGGAATTCTGGGAGTTGAAGGAGTCGTAAAACAGCCAAGGTTGCCGACCCCTGGCCTAGGGCTTGGAGGAGGGCCCTTCTTAAAGCAGCCATCCCTGAATCAGGAGTAGCTGCTCGGCCAGCCTTTAGCAGGGCTCCTACAGATCTGTCTCTTCCCTTCCCTCCCCATCCCCTTTTGTTTTCCAGGAGAGTGACATCAAGTGGGCTTCCCGGTGGGACACTTACCTCACCATGAGCGACGTCCAGATCCATTGGTTTTCCATCGTGAACTCCGTGGTGGTGGTCTTCTTCCTTTCAGGTGAGAAGGGAACTGGAAGTGGTGGTGGTCTTCTTCCTTTCAGGTGAGAAGGGAACTGGAAGCACTCGGAACCAGCAGGGGCTAGGGGATTTTGGATGCGGAGACGGCCCTTTAAAACCTCCACGGGACAGAATAGCAGAATAACAAGAGTTGGAAGGGACCTTAGAGGTCTTCTAGTCCAGCCCCCTGCTCAAGCAGGAGACCCTATACCCTCTCGAACAAATGGCTGTCCAGTCTCTTCTTGAAAACCTCCAGTGTTGGAGCACCCACAACTTCTGGAGGCAGGTCGTTCCATTGAAAGAGAAGAAGAAGGGGGGGGGATAAAAGGAGCAGGAGGACCAACAGAATAACAGAGTTGAAAGGGACCTTGAGAGGTCTTCTAGTCCAACCCCCTGCTCAAGCGGGAAATCCATTTCAGACAAATGGCTGTCCAATCTCTTCTTAAAAACTTCCAGTGATGGAGCACCCACAACTTCTGGAGTCGAGATGTTTATGAGATATTTTTAAAAGAGCCAAAAGTAAAATTAAACTGATATAATTCGGAGCAAGAACAATCGCTAATTTTTGAAATAAAAGCCAAGCTCAGAAGCCTCCAGCTTCTGGGAATCTACCAGTTCCTGGCCAGTTCAGCTCTGCGGCCTTTCCCTTCCTCTTCCCACCGTCCTTTCATCTTATTTATTTATTTAATAATAATAATAATAATAAAGTTGGAAGGGACCTTGGAGGTCATCTAGTCCAACCCTCTGCTCAGGCAGGAAACCCTATACCATTTCAGACAAATGGCTGATCAAATTTTGAAAACAATCTGTCTCCTTCACAGAGTGGCTCTGGAAAGCGTGCAAATAAAATGTTAACACGTATATAAAATTTAGAATTCAAAAAAAGGCAAAATTGAATTAAAAAAAACAGACTGAAGGTTAATTTAAAGGCAGAAGGAGGGTTCAGGATTTGGGACTGCAGATCAGTTTACTTTCCTTTTTGTTGCTTTGTCATTATTTATTTGGCTGGGCAGGGCCCATTTTGTAGGCTTTAGCAGGTCTGTTACCTGCCCAAAGCAAACTACCTGAGACAGGATAGGCCAGGGGTAGGCAACCTTGGCTTTTTTATGACTCGTGGACTTCAACTCCCAGAATTCCTGAGCCAGCCACGCTGAGGGGAAAGGGAGAGGTTTCCAAGCTGAGCCAGGCTGGCTCAGGAATTCTGGGAGTTGAAGTCCATGAGTCATGAGGGGGCCATAGTTCCCCCATGCTGGCTCAGGAATTCTGGGAGTTGAAGTCCACGAGTCATAAAAGAGCCAAGGTTGCCTACCTCCTGGGATAGGCCATTGTCTAAGACAGGTATCTCCAATCCTAGCAACTTTTAAGACTTGTGGACTTCAACTCCCAGAATTCCCCAGCCAGCCTTCTCTTAGACCAGGGATCTACAGCTTCGACAGCTTCAAGACTTGTGTACTTCAACTCCTTGTCTGGGGAATTCTGGGAATTGAAGTCCACCTGTCTTAAAGTTGCCAAGGTTGGAGACTGAGAGCATTTGAAAGCCTGGGGAATCTTTGATTAAGCCAAAGAAGGACCCAAACATCGTGCAGTGCAGTGAGGAAACTAGTGGTTTACGTAGGAGTAAATTGTTTCCTCCGCTGTTGGTGAACACCCATGTGCTGAAAAAAAACAGGAAGGTGGGTACCTCAAACAGCAGCCCCTGGGATGCAGGAGGCATCTCTTTGGATGGCAGAGCGTTTTCCTTCCACTCGTAACAGATGAATGCCAATTAATTAATTAATCAATGACTTCATTGATGATATTGCCTCCTGGAGGTGATTAGTGGCTTGAGAGGGGATTCTGTCTGCACCGCCTGGTGTATCGCTTCCTTCCTTAGCCATCTTTGTTAAGCTTTAATGTTTATTGTCTTCATATTTTTTTTTAAATTTTATTTAAATTTTCAATACATATAATACTTTCCATACATTATATATAAAACTAAAAAAAAGAGAAAAATACCTTTAAAATAAGACCTTAGGTGTCGCTCGTCTATCTCCCCCCCCAACTGCGTCCGCCCTCTCAGCCTTCCTTCCTTCCTTCCCTACTTCCTCTCTCCTCTCCTCTCCTCTCTCCCCTCACCCCTTCCTCCCATCCAACTTCCTTCCTTCCCTCCTCCTCCCCTCTTATCCCTCTTCGGATACAGTTCAGGGGAAGCACCCGAGCGGCACCTCCCTCTAAATGACTCCATCTATTTCATACTTTAATATTTCTATATATACTTAATCCCCTCCCCCCCAACACCCCCCCACTTCCCAGAGCAAAATACAGGGTTATTATAAACAAAACAAACACAATCTATAACTTTAAAAAAAAAATTCTATACAATAAACAAATTCATACATTACCCTTAACTCTCTCTAAACTTAAAATAATAATAATAATAATAATAATAACATAAACAAATCTACTATAAATGAAATATTATAAAAATCTATAAATAGTAATTATAACCTCAAGAAAAAATTAATCATAAAATAAATGGAACTTTAAAGTTCCATATTTATTCTGAATATAATCTATCCACCTTCTTATTTTCTTCATATTTTAATGTTTACTGAGAGAATATTTGTAGCTCAGGGTTGAACTGTGGGCTCCTCCTCCTCCACACACTCACCTCCTTTCTAGCACTGATGATGTTATCTAGTTGGGTAATGAAATGTCTGCAAGAAAACCCAGCTCAGAGAGCACCAGGGACCCCACAGTCTTCCTCCTCCTCCTCTCCACACTGACCTCCCTTCTAGCACAGATGATGTTACTTAGTTGGGTAATGAAATGTCTGCAAGAAAACCACCCAGCTCAGAGAGCACCATGATTCTTTCCTCCTCCTCCTCCTCCTCACACACTCACCTCCCTTCTAGCACTGATGATGTTACCTAGTTGGGTCATGAAATGTCTGCAAGGAAACCACCAAGCTCAAAGAGCACCAAGGACTCCACAGTCCTCTTCCTTCTCCTCCTGTGTCACATTTTATTTTTAAAGTTAAGATTAAATGGTTTTATAGTGTTGTTTTTCCTCTTCTGAACTGCGTAGAGCCCCCTGACGGCAAGGTGGGGCGGCATACCCATTTAATGACCTCTCTCCGTTGTGAGCACCGGCAGTGGCGCTTCAGGATGGACTGTGAAGCTGCAGAAGGGCTGCCTCCCCCTCCCCAGGCTCACCCCTCCTGGGGAGTCTCGGAGGGGGCGCAGACCTACTTCTTCCTGGGTTTCTCTTTTGCAGGCATCCTCAGCATGATTATCATCCGGACCCTCCGGAAAGACATCGCCAACTACAACAAGGAAGACGACATTGTACGTCCAGCTGCCTCTCCGGCAGGGATGGGGCTCTCCGTCTCCGGGTTCTGCAGCTCTGGTTTGGGGGGAGACCTGGCAACGGATTGGTGCCTCTCTTGCCGTTGAGAGAAGCTCCTGGAGGCAACAGCTGAAGGGTTTTCCTGCTTCCTGGTTTGGGTTTAGAGCAGTGTTTCTCAGCCTTGGCAACTTTACAAGGTGTGGACTGCTAGCTGGAGAATTCTGGGCATTGAAGTCCACACGTCGTAAAGTCGCCAAGGTTGAGAAACACTGGTTTAGAGCCACCTGCCAGACCTTAAACCTCTAAATCAGGGGTCTTCCCACTTGGCCCTTTGATGACTGGTGGACTTCAACTGGCTGAGGAATTCTGGGAGTTGAAGTCCACCAGTCATCAAAGGGCCAAGTTGGAAGGCCCCTGTTGTAGGCAATAGCGGGCTTTTGCTGGTTTTGTTTATGTGTTTGGAAAAGTCACGGGCAAGGGTCTTCCAACTTGGCCCTTTGATGACTGGTGGACTTCAACTCCCAGAATTCCTCAGCCAGCGTGCCTGGGCTGAGGAATTCTGGGAGTTGAAGTCCACCAGTCATCAAAGGACCGAGTTTGGAGACCCCTGCTATAGAATATGTAAGGCAGGTATGACTATTTTGAGGAAATCTTGAAGGAACATTCTGGAAAAAAAGAGTAGACACAGGCCTAGTTCAGATTTTTGTGGGCTGCTTTGTGGCTCGGCGGCTGGAAGAGAGGTAATTATCACTAAATGTAGAACAAGGGTAAGATTTCTGCTTTTTTTCCCCCCCTCATAAAGAATGTAATACAGGTCTGTAGTCCTAAATCAGCAGTCTTCAAACTTGGCCCTTTCGTGACTGGTGGACTTCAATTCCCAGAATTCCTCAGCCAGCGTGCCTGGGCTGAGGAATTCTGGGAGTTGGTCCACCAGTCATCAAAGGGCCGAGTTTGAAGACCCCTGCTATAGAGTACGTAAGGCAGGTATGAGTATTTTGAGGAAATCTTGAAGGAACATTCTGGAAAAAAAGAGGCCTAGTTCAGATTTTTGTGGGCTGCTTTGTGCTCCAGGGCTGGAAGAGAGGTAATTATCACTAAATGTAGAACAAGGGTAAGATTTCTGCTTTTTTTTTCCCCTCATAAAGAATGTAATACAGATATGTAGTCTTCAAACTTGGCCCTTTCATGACTTTGGACTTCAATTCCCAGAATTCCTTAGCCAGCGTGCTTCAAGTGGCTGAGGTTGAGAAACATGGATCCGAGGGGGGAATTCTGGGAGTTGAAGTCCACCCATCTTAAGGAGGTTTGAGAAACATGGGTCTAGGCGTGCCTGGCTGAGGAATTCTGGGAGTTGAAGTCCACAAATCATCAAAGGGCCAAGTTTGACAACCCCCTGCTATAGAATATATAAGGCAGGTATGAGTATTTTGAGGAAATCTTAAAGGAACATTTTGGAAAAGAAAAGTAGAGAGAGGCCTAGTTCAGATTTTTCTTGGCTGCTTTGTGGCTCCGCGGCTGGAAGAGAGGTAATTATCACTATATGTAGAACAAGGGTAAGATTTCTGCTTTTTTCCCCCTCATAAAGAATGTAATACAGGTATGTAGTCCTAAATTAGCGGTCTTCAAACTTGGCCCTTTCAGGACTTGTGGACTTCAACTCCCAGAATTCCTCAGGCCTTAAGTCACTTTTTTCAGTGCCGTTGTAACTTCAAACAGTGACTAAATGAACTGTTATAAGTCGGGGGACTGTATTTGTTTGTCCATTCATTCATTCATTCATTCATTCATTCATTCATTCATTCCTTTATTAAATTCTACCATTCCCCTGGAGTCAGTTAGAACTGAAGAAGCTTCTCCGGAGGAGAAGCGAAAGGTTTCCAAAAGAAAAGGGAAAAAAAAACAAAGCAAAACCCAAGAAAGTCCAGTTGCCTTTTGGGAACAAAGAACCTCTGGGACAACCATGACCTGGTTGCGTGTCTTTGTGCGGGTACTTGTGTGTGTGGGTAAAAAGGGGAGGTTTGTCGCAGACTGCCGGCTGATCGTGCGGCCCTCTTCGCCCGCTGCAGGAAGACACCATGGAGGAATCCGGGTGGAAGCTGGTGCACGGGGACGTCTTCCGGCCTCCGCAGTATCCCATGATCCTCAGCTCTCTGCTGGGCTCCGGCATCCAGCTCTTCTGCATGATCCTGATTGTGATTTGTGAGTACAGCCCGGCAGGGCTGAGCGTTTTGCCGTGTGGAGAGGCTGGGGGACCACAAAACCCAGACAGGGCTGGGCACTTAGTCCCCCTCCCCACCAGTCTTGTTTCCCAGCCTCTCCCAGTGGCACGAAATGGCAGTTCCCAACTCCTCCGGCCAGGCGGTTACCTGCTGGTTCGGGAGGCCCTGCCTGGTCTCTGTGGCCCCAGGGGACCCCAGGGTGCTTCCAAAACACAAACATGATGCTCCTCTGTGCCCTTCCTCTCTCCTCCTCCTCCTCTACTTATCCTCCTCTCTACTTATCCTCCTTCGCCCCTCTACATCATCCTCTTCTCTATTTATCCTCCTTATCCACCTTCTCTACCTATCCTCTACTTCTCTTCTTCTCTACTTATCCTCCTCCTCTCTTCTTACCATCCTCCTCTCTACTTCTCCTTCTCATCCTCCTCCTCTCTACTTCTCCTCCTCCTCTCTACTTCTCCTCCTTCTCTACTTATTCTCTCTACTTATCCCCCTTCTCCTCTCTACATCATCCTCTTCTCTATTTATCCTCCTTATCCACCTTCTCCTCTCTACTACTTCTCTTCTTCTCTATTTACCCTCCTCCTCCTCTCTACTTATCCTCCTCCTTCTCTACTTATCTTCCTCTCTACATCCTCCTTCTCCTCTCTACATCATCCTCTTCTCTATTTATTCTCCTTATCCACCTTCTGCTCTACTTATCCTCTCTATTTCTACTTCTCTTCTTCTCTACTTATGCTCTTCCTCCTCTCTACTTACCATCCTCCTTCTCATCCTCCTCCTTTCTACTTATCCTCATACTCCTCTACTTATCCTCCTCCTTCTCTACTTATCCTCCTCCTCCTCTCTACATCATCCTCTTTTCTATTTATCCTCCTTATCCACTTTCTCCTCTACTTATCCTCTCTACTTCTACTTCTCTTCTTCTCTACTTATCTTCCTCCTCCTCCTCTCTACTTACCATCCTCCTTCTCATCCTCCTCCTCTCTACTTATCCTCCTTCTCATCCTCCTCCTCTCTACTTATCCTCCTTCTCATCCTCCTCCTCCTCTCTACTTACCATCCTCCTTCTCTACTTATCCTCCTCTCTACTTATTCTCCTTCTCCTTTCTACATCATCCTCTTCTCTATCCTCCTCATCCACTTTCTCCTCTACTTATCCTCTCTACTTTTACTTCTTTTCTTCTCTACTTATCCTCCTCCTCTCTACTTACCATCCTCTCTACTTATCCTCCTCTCTACTTATCCTCCTCCTTCTCATCCTCATCCTCCTTCTCTACTTATCCTCCTCTCTACTTATCCTCCTTCTCCTCTCTACATCATCCTCTTCTCTATTTATCCTCCTTATCCACCTTCTCCTCTACTTATCCTCCTCTTCTTCTCTACTTATCTTCCTCCTTCTCCTCTACTTATCCTCCTACTCCTGTCTACTTATGTTCTTCTTCCTCCTCTCTACTCCTCTTTCTCTTCTCTACACATTCTTCTCTTCCTCCTCCGTTTTCATCTCCCTTCTCATTCTCCCTCCTCTCCCTTCTCTTCCTCGTTACTAATCCAGCCCTTGAGATATTGGAAGACGGCTATCCTATCCCCCCCTCGTCCTTCTCTTCCTTAAATTAGACATCCCCAATTCCAGCAGTCATTCCTTACGTGTTTTAGCCTCCAGTCCCCTGATCATCTGGGTTGCTCTTCTCTGCACTCTTTCTAGACTAGAGTCTCAACATCTCAACATCAATTCAAATGCAGGGTTTGAATTGCAGCTGGTGTGGGGGTGGAGGTGGTGGGGTTGGGAAAAAACCAAGAGAAACGGATCCTGGCCCGCCAGCGGCTTCGTGCGACCCCCGAGGACAGCGGCCTTTTTAAAAAACCCCAACGCTTCCCTCTTGTTTTTCCAGTTGTGGCCATGCTGGGGATGCTGTCTCCCTCCAGCCGAGGGGCTCTGATGACCACCGCCTGCTTCCTCTTCATGTTCATGGGGTGAGTAAGCGCAGTTGCTGCCTGGGCGCCCCTCCTCCCGGGGGTGGGGGGTCCATAAAGGGAGGGGAGTAACCCTGCTCTCTCTTCACACAGGGTCTTCGGGGGCTTCTCGGCTGGCCGTTTGTACCGCACCCTCAAAGGGCATCGGTGGAAAAAAGGCGCCTTCTGCGTGAGTGGAGCTGCTGCCTCTGGGTGGGGAGGGGGAAGGGGTTTTGGGGGGGGGGCTGTCGGTCAGGACTAAAAGGTGGGGCCTAACTGGGGTCAGACAGGGAGAGGAAATCCCTTGGGGCAGTGATTCTCAACCTTTTTAATGCCGCGACCCCCCCCCCAACCGGTCGTAAGTCGAGGACTGCTCAACCGGTCGTAAGTCGAGGACTACTCAACTGGTGGAGCACCATTTGCAGAATGGGGCTTTTGGCGGGCTCAGCAGGGCAGAGACAGCCTGGACAATTCCTATTGGCTTTTGAAAGCCAACAGAATTAAACTCTATTCAAGAGAGTCTCTTCTATTGGCTTTCAAAAGCCAATAGAATAAAAGGGAGGAGCACAGCTAAGGAAAAGGGGGGGGGGAAATGGCGGACTGCGTTGTTTGGCGACCCCCGTGAAAGGGTCGTTTGACCCCAAATGGGGTCCCGATCCACAGGTGGAGAACTACTGCCTTGCAAGCGACGGGAGTTTGAAGATGATTTCAACCCAAACAGAAAACAGGCCCCAGTGGAAAAGAATATTTCCAGCTTGGGTTGAACTGGGTGGTTTTCTTGCAGACGTTTCATGGCCCAACTAGGTAACGTCATCAGGGCTAGTAGGGAGGAGAAGGAGGAGGAGGACTGAAGGTCCTTGGTGCTCTCTGAGCTGGGTGGTTTTCTTATGGACGTTTCATGGCCTAAGTAGGCAACATCATCAGAGCTAGAAGGGAGGAGGGGGGGACTGTGGGGGTCCTTGATGCTCTCTGAGCTTGGTGGTTTTCTTGTAGATGTTTCATGACCCAACTAGGTAATGTTGTCATGGCTAGAGTGGAGTTTGAGGAGAGAAGGAGGAGGAGGAGGACTGAGGGGTCCTTGGTGCTCTCTGAGCTGGATGGTTTTCTTGTGGACGTTTCATGACCCAGCTAGGTAACGGCATCAGGGCTAGTAGGGTGTTACTCATTTAACAACTGCAGTGATTCACTTAATAAATGTGCAGGAAAGATGGTAAACTTTTAAGTGAGACAAACTCACAATTGTCTTGTTTAGCAACAAAACGTCTGGGCTAAATTGTGTGTTGTAAGTCTAGGACAGGGATAAGCAACCTTGGCTCTTTTATGACTGGTGGACTTCAACTCCCAGAATTCCTGAGCCAGCTATGCTGAGGGAAAAGGGAGAGGTTTCCAAGCTGAGACATGCTGGCTCAGGAATTCTGGGAGCTGAAGTCCACGAGTCATCAAAGGGCCAAGTTTGAAGACCCCTGGTTTAAATATTTAAATATTTTTTCCTCACGGTCACATGATCAAAATTCAGGCATTTGGGCAGGGGTAGACGACCTTGGCTCTTTTATGACTGGTGGACTTCAACTCCCAGAATTCCTCAGCCAGCATGGGGGAACTATGGCCCCCTAATGAACTCGTGGACTTCAACTCCCAGAATTCCTGAGCCAGCCTGGCTCAGCTTGGAAACCTCTCCCTTTCCGCTCAGCGTGGCTGACTTGGGAATTCTGGGAGTTGAAGTCCATGAGTCATAAAAGAGCCAAGGTGGCCTACCCCTGGCCTAGGACTACCTGTCCATGCCACATTCTTCATGCTGACTTAAGCATTGCGGGAAGAAGAACCGGAGCCCTTTGGCTGCCGGGCACACAAACAGGGGTGGCACCAGAAGATTTCCGCAGCTGGAGCCCACTAACCTTGGTTTATTCTTCCCCTCGCAGACCGCCATGCTGTATCCCGGGGTCGTCTTTGGCATATGCTTCATCCTGAATTGTTTCATCTGGGGCAAACACTCCTCGGGGGCGGTAGGTCTCTCCTTGCTACCCCCTGTGGCTTACTCCTTTCCGTGATGTGGGTCTGAGAGAGAAACCTCAACGGTGCTTTTCTCAGGATTTTTTCCTTGAAGACGTTTCGCTGCTCATCCCAGAAGCTTCTTCAGTTCTGACTGAACGGTGGGGAAGGGAAGGATTGATGCTCCTCGCAGTCATCTGGTCATTTGTACTCTCTCTAAGAGTCATTGAGGCCACCTGGAGGTTGGCCTGTGTCCTCAGGGTCACCTGAGTGGTGCAAATGGGCGTGGAGCCTTCTTGGAACCGCTGAAAGGACTGTGTTGTAGACCGGAAATAGATGATGTTGTGTCCCTCCCCCTCTGTTGAGAGAGGGCCTTTTAATTTTAATTTAGATCAGGGATCCCCAACACCCCGATACCGGGCCACGGCATGCCAGCAACCGGTCCGCACAAACAAGCAAAGCCCCATCCGTGAGATGCAGGCAGCACACAAAACCACGCAGCCTCCGGTGTGCGGAAAAACCTTTCTCCAAGGAACCGGTGCCTGGTGCCCAAAAGGTTGGGGACCTGTGAGCTGCTAGATGACCTCTTGGGCCCCTCTTTCAAACCAGCGGTCCTCTCTGTCCAAAAGGTGGACTTTGCTGTCTTCAAAAGAGCGGCTTTTGTCTCTTAAATACAGATGGGTGGCCGTATCTGGTCCTGGTGGGTTTGTTCTCCTAGCCCAGGGGTAGGCAACCTGGGCTCTTTTATGACTGGTGGACTTCAACTCCCAGAATTCCTCAGCCAGCATGGGGGAACTATGGCCCCCTCATGACTCATGGACTTCAACTCCCAGAATTGCTCAGCCAGCATGGGGGAACTATGATCCCCTCATGACTGGTGGACTTCAATTCCCAGAATTCCTGAGCCAGCATGGGGGAACTATGGCCCCCTCATGACTCGTGGACTTCAACTCCCAGAATTCCTGAGCCAGCATGGGGAACTATGGCCCCCTCATGACTCGTGGACTTCAACTCCCAGAATTCCTGAGCCAGCATGGGGGAACTATGGCCCCCTCATGACTCGTGGACTTCAACTCCCAGAATTCCTGAGCCAGCATGGGGGAACTATGGCCCCCTCATGACTCGTGGACTTCAACTCCCAGAATTCCTGAGCCAGCATGGGGGAATTATGGCCCCCTCATGACTCGTGGACTTCAACTCCCAGAATTCCTAAGCCAGCGTGGCTCAGCTTGGAAACCTCTCCCTTTCCCCTCAGCGTGGCTGGCTGAGGAATTCTGGGAGTTGAAGTCCACCAGTCATCAAAGGGCCAAGTTTGAAGACCCCTAGTCTGAGGATCCGGCTCTCACTTCCAGGTCCCGTTCCCCACCATGGTGGCGCTGCTCTGCATGTGGTTCGGGATTTCCTTGCCCCTGGTGTACCTGGGCTACTACTTCGGCTTCCGCAAGCAGCCCTACGACAATCCCGTGCGGACCAATCAGATCCCAAGGCAGATCCCGGAGCAGAGGTGGTACATGAACCGGTTTGTGGGGTGAGTTCTTCCGGGCCAATCTGGTCGCAAGTCGGGGATAGGAACTAAAGTAGCTGTCATAACAGAGCCAGCTTGGGATAGTGGTGAAAGGGATTGGCCTAGGGACCAGGAGGCTGTGAGTTCTAGTTCCAGCTTAGGCACAAAAGCTGGCTGGGCCAATCAGCAGAGGACGGTGAGTTCTAGTCCTGCTTTAGGCATGAAAGTCAGCTGGGTGACTCTGGGCCAATCACCAGGAGACGGTGAATTCTAGTCCTGCCTTAGGCATGAAAGCTGGCTGGGTGACTTTGGGCCAATCAGCAGGAGACGGTGAGTTCTAGTCCTGCCTTAGGCATGAAAGCCTCTGGGTGACTTTGGGCCAGTCACCAGGAGACGGTGAGTTCTAGTCCTGCCTTAGCCAGGAAAGCTGGCTGGGTGATTTTGGGCCACTCCCTCTGTCTTGGCCCAGCCCACCTCGCAGGGTTGTCATTGTGGGGAAAACAGGAGGAGGAAGGAGATACGCTTGCCGCCTTGAGTCATAGTTGAAAAGACAGAATCAAAAAAAAAATCTAATAATTACAATAACAATAACGAATCAGCAGAGCAGAAAGTATTACTGACTCTACCTAGCTAGGTGCTGATCCGAGTTCAGAAAAGCCTTGTGTGTGTTTTAAACCGAGGATAATAAAATCAGAGTTTATTTATTTCAGCCAGGGGTCTTCAAACTTGGCCCTTCGATGACTTGTGGACTTCAACTCCCAGAATTCCTCAGCCAGGCACGCGTGCCTGGCTGAGGAATTCTGGGAGTTGAAGTCCACAAGTCATCGAAGGGCCAAGTTTGAAGACCCACCCCCGATTTAAACGGAGGATAATAAGTAGCCGTTTTATTTATTTAAACAGCGATAACAGCCTTTTATTTTATTGGTTTTATTTAAGCAGTTTTGTAACGATCCGTTTGAACAAGATCACAGGCTTCTATCATAACACTTTCTCCTCCCTCCCTCTCTCCCTCCCTTCCTAGGATCCTGATGGCTGGAATTCTGCCTTTTGGAGCCATGTTTATTGAACTTTTCTTCATTTTCAGCGTAAGTCCTGTGTTCCCACCCACCCTCCCTCCGGCCCACAGCCGCTTTTGCGCCTTTCGTGCGAAATATTCCTTGCCCAGACCGAGAACTCACAACCCAGTGTGGTGCTTCCTATCGCACTCTCCACAAGTTGTTCTCTATTCCAGTTAGCGAATCGTTAAATTTCTACGCTGGCCCTCTCGCTGTGAAGAGACTCGGGGCGACTTCCAGCCAGATTTTTTTTTAAATGCAAAACAACGAAGAACAGGCAGTGCTCGTCTTACGACCACGTTGGCGTTGCTAAGCGAGACGTCTGTGAATTAGGCCCCGCTTTACGATCTTCCTTGTCCCCGTTAAACAATTCGTAGCAGTTATTAAACAAGTCACACGGTCGTTAAGCAAATCTGGCTTCCCTCGCTGACTTTGCTGCTCGGACGGTCGCATAAGGGGGATCATGTGACACACACACAGACACACACACACACACACACACATACTGGGGATGCTGCAAACCGTCATAAATACGAGCCGGTTGCCAAGCGGCCGAATTTTGATCACGTGACCACGGGGGGGGGCTGCAACGGTCCTAAGTGAGAAACAGTAGCAAGTCACTTTTTTCAGTGCCGTTGGAATGTTGGGTGGCCGTTCAATGAACCGTCGTAAGTTGAGGACTACCTGTATTCGCATTAAAATTAATAAAATTGGCTTACGACGGGATGATGGTGAGTGGTGTTTAACCCACTGACTCCCTCCAGCGTGGAACTGACCCATCAGGACCCCAGGCTAATCAGGATGAGGGCCTCTGTGGATCTCCCCTCGAGGGGGTAACGTGCTCCAGAGGGCAGGGGCCACGGCAGAAAAGACCCTCCCAAAATTCCTTGGCCAACTGGGTTCTCAGCAAGCTCCATCATCCAGGTCCTGGTTGTTCCAAAGGTGCTTTATTCAAAAGACACCTGGAGTTCCTTGTTTCTTCTCTTTTTTTTTTTCTCTTGGAAGACGTTTCTATCCCCATCTGAGAAGCTTGTTCAGGTTCTGACTGGATGATGGGGAAGGGAAGGATTTATACTCCTTGCAGACAGCTGGTCATTTGCAATCTTTTAGGGGGCCGTTGAAGCCGCCTGGAGGTTCACCTGTGTCCTCAATGGTGCTTTTTCAGGAGACAACTGGACTGTTTTTCTTGGAAGACCTTTCGCTTCTCATCCCAGAAGCTTCATCAGGTTCTGACTGGATGGAGGGGAAGGGAAGGATTTATACTCCTTGCAGACCGCTGGTCCTTTGCCGTCTTTGAGAGAGTCCTTGAGGCCACCTGGAGGCTTACCTGTGTCCTCAGGGTCACCTGAGCGGTGCAAATGGGGGTGGAGCCTTCCTGGAAGCACCGTGTGGTAGACTGGAGCTAGATGATGTTGTGCCCCTCCCCCTCTGTTGAAGGAGGGTGGTTCAATTTTGACCTCTTGGACCCCTGGTTCCAAGAAAGCTCCACCCCCATTTGCAACGCTCGGGTGACCCCGAGGGCACAGATAAACCTCCAGGTGGCCTCAACGACTCTCTTTAAAAAAAAAAAGAAGGCAAAGGACCAGCTGTCTGCAAGGAGTATAAACCCTTCCATTCCCCACCATCCAGAGGAAGCTTCTGGGATGAGGAGTGAAAGGTCTTCAGAGAAAAACAGTCCAGTTGCTTCATGAAAAAGCACCTTTGGGACAAACTGAGGACACAGGTGGCCTCAATGACTCTCTAAAAGGGTGCAAAGGACCAGCTGTCTGCAAGGAGTATAAATCCTTCCCTTCCCCACCATCCAGTCAGAACCTGAAGAAGCTTCTCAGATGGGGATAGAAACATCTTCCAAGAGAAAAAAAAAGGGGAAGAAACAAGGAACTCCAGGTGTCTTTTGAATAAAGCACCTTTGGAACAACCAGGACCTGGATGATGGAGCTTGCTGAGAACCCAGTTGGCCAAAGAATTTTGGGAGGGTCTTTTCTGCTGTGGCCCCTGCCCTCTGGAGCACGTTACCCCCTCGAGGGGAGATCCACAGAGGGGGTGAGATAGTTCCTGAAGAGTTTTAAAAGTCCTAACCAAGATCCTGAGTATCTGCCGGTCTTTCTTCGATCCAGGCCATCTGGGAGAATCAGTTCTACTACCTCTTTGGCTTCTTATTCCTGGTGTTCATCATCCTGGTGGTCTCCTGTTCCCAGATCAGCATCGTCATGGTGTACTTCCAGCTCTGTGCCGAGGTAAGGTGGGGGGGGACGAGGGGGGGCAGGTCGCAGGGTTGGGGAACCGAGGTCTGCCACGGATCCAGAATCCCCGGCCTTTGAGGTGCAAGGAAGGAGTCTGTGTCCTGCAGAGCTAGGTGTAGGGATCGGGACCCAGAGAAGGAAATCGGAGAGAAAGTATTTACCGCTGCAGTGGGAGACCCAGTAGAAGGGAATATTGGTAGCTCGGGTTGAAATGTGGGGTCCGTGGTGCTCTCTGAGCTGGGTGGTTTTCTTGCAGACGTTTCGTGACCCGACTAGGGAACATCATCAGTGCTGGAAGGGAGGAGGAGAAGGAGGAGGAATGACTGTGGGCTCCTTGGTGCTGTCTGAGCTGGGTGGTTTTCTTGCAGACGTTTCATGACCTGACTAGGGAACATCATCAGTGCTAGAAGGGAGGAGGAGGAAGATAATTGTGGGCTCCTTGGTGCTCTCTGAGCTGGGTGGTTTTCTTGCAGACGTTTCATGACCTGACTAGGGAACATCATCAGTGCTAGAAGGGAGGAGGAGGAGGAGGAGGAAGATAATTGTGGGGGGTCCTTGGTGCTCTCTGAGGTTCGGGATGTTGGATAGCGACGTAGTTAGAATGCCGATGTCAACGCTGCAAATATTGTATATTCTTGCTTTTGACAATATGCAGAACTGTCTGGTATTTGTGGGGTTAATACAGAGCAGAAGGGGGGTTGGGGGTAAAGCCCGGGAAAGAAAGAGGAAGAAAACCTATGACCTTCACACTAATTGGATAATGTGATATATGACGGCTAATTTAGGGAGAGAACATGCTGGTAATTTAACTGCTCAGAGGAAGAGAACTTAGATCCTAGCATCCTTCCGTTGTGCCTGTGCTGACATTTCGATTCAATAAAAGACTTTTAGGAAAATAAATGCCTGGAAGTTCTTTGAAATGTTTCATTAGCCGGAACCATAACAGCCACATTGCAGGTTAACTCTGCCGACTGCCAGCAGTTCGATTCTCACCGGCTCAAGGTTGACTCAGCCTTCCTCCATCCTTCCCAGTTCGGTAAAATGAGGACCTAGATGGTTGAGGGCAACATGCCAAGAATGCTGTCCTTGTAAACCACGCTGTAAAGCGCCACGGGGCGATGTATAAGGCTAAATGCTCTTGCGCCTCATTTATAGCAAGAGCCCTTAGACTTATCTACCGCCTCACAGTTCTTTTACAGCAGTGTTTCCCAAACTTGACAATTTTAAGGCATGTGGACTTCAACTCCCAGAATTCCACAGCCAGTGTTGCTGGCTGTGGAATTCTGGGAGTTGAAGTCCTCATGCCTTAAAATTGTCAAGTTTGGGAAACACTGTTTTACAGCCCTCTCTAAGCGGCTTATAGAGTCAGCCTTATTTGCCACCAGCAATCTGGGTCCCCATTTTACTGACCTCGGAAGGATGGAAGGCTGAGTCGATCTTGAGCTGGTCAGGATCGAACTCCCGGCTGTGGGCAGAGTCAACCTGCAATCCTGCCTTCTAACCACAGTGCCACCAGGGCTCCTACGACCTTTCTTTGCCACCATTCTTAAGTGAATCACTGCAGTCGTTAAGCCAATTATGAGATCATTACGTGAATCTGGCTTTGCCTATTGGTTTTGGTTGTTGGAAGCCATCCAAGAAAGTCACAGACGGTGATCACGTGACCCAGGGACACTGCAACCGTCCTAGGTAGATGCCAAGCGCCCGGATTTTGATCATGTGACCCATTATGGCGATGCTGCGATGGTTGTAATGACGAGGACCGGTTGCCGGTCACCTTTTTTCGGTGCCTTTGTAACTTTGAACGGTCACTAAATGACGGTTGTAACTGGAGGTAATCCAAGGTGGGTCTGCTCATTTTGGCAGGATTATCGATGGTGGTGGAGGACCTTCCTGGTCTCCGGAGGATCCGCCTTCTACGTGCTGATCTATGCCGTCTTCTACTTCGTGAATAAGGTACTCCTTTTTATTTTTATTTTATTTATTTTTATGTTATTGTTTTAATTTTATTTTTATTTTATCTATTTTATTTTAGTATTTTAGTTTATTTTATATTATTTTAGTATTTTATTTTATTTTACTATTTCATTTATTATTTTAGTATTTTAATTTATTATTTTCATTTTTATTTTATTTATTTTATTTTAGTATTTTTATTTTTTTATTTTAATATTTTTATTTTAGTATTTTTATTTTTATCTTATTTATTTTATTTTAGTATTTTTATTCTTTTTATTTTAATTTATAATTCTATTTAGTATTTTATTTTATTATTTTTATTTATTTTATTTTATTATTTATTTTAAAATAACTGGTCAGGTGCCTGGTAGGTGTTGCCCATTGAGTGGGCGTGGCTGCGGTGGTAAAGGCAGACTGGGTGGGACTAAAAAGTTCAATCAATCAATTCCAACTTTGCAAGATCTTTTTTTTTTTCCGCGAGAAGTTGAAATTGACTGATTGATTGAACCTTTTTCTTTCTTTTTTGCACACGGCGGCAGAGGCCTAAAGCGAAAAGGTTTTATAAAACCCAGCTGAAGGCCTAGGACTGGGGCGACGGCGCACGTGCCCACAGAGAGGGCTCGGAGTGCCGCCTCTGGCACCCGTGCCATGGGTTTGCCACCACTGACCTAAGCCATGCTGGCTGTTAAGCAGGATACTACACCACTGCCCTCACGATTACCATTGTTTTTGCAGCAGTTATAAACCAAAGGCAATGGTCATAAAGTGAACTCACCATTGTTAAGTGAACCTATTGTTTGGGGACGCAATGCCCACACACGCTCCCACAATTGCCAGCCATTCATGCGGCCTGGTGGCTAATAGGCCACGGCCCAATAGTGGCCACGGCCCACAGGTTGGGGACCCCTATTCTAGTCCAACCCCCTGCTGAAGCAGGAAACCCTATACAATTCTGGACAAATGGCTGTCCAATCTCTTCTTGAAGACCTCCAGTGATGGAGCACCCACAGCTTCTGGAGGCAGGTAGTTCCACTGGTTAATTGTCCCTCACTGTTAGGAAGTTTCTCCTTAGTTCTAGGTTGCTTCTCTCTTTGGTTAGTTCCCACCCGTTGCTTCTTGTCCTGCCTTCAGGCGCTTTGGGGAATAGCTTGACTCCCTCTTCTTTGGGGCAGCCCCTGAGATACTAGAAGGCTGCTATCCTGTCCTCCCTGGTCCTTCCTTGCCTCCCTGAAGGGGACTGTTGGGGTTCAGCTCTCCCCCCTCCCCTTAATTTCCCTCCCCCTAACTCCCTTTTTCTTCTCTTCCAGCTGGACATTGTGGAATTCATCCCCTCCCTGTTGTATTTCGGCTACACTGCCCTCATGGTGCTGTCCTTCTGGCTCCTGACCGGGACCATCGGCTTCTATGCAGCTTACATGTTTGTCCGCAAAATTTACGCCGCGGTGAAAATAGACTGAAGATGCCGGCACGCCCGGACGAACCACCGAGCCACCACCAGGCTTTTGGTTTTCTTTCCTGGGAAGGAAAGCGGGGAACTTTTTTTCCTGTTTCTCCCAAGGACAGGATAAATCCTTTGGGAGCAGGACGCAGGAAACAATAACAATAATAATAATAAAAAAAGTTCAACTCTTGGAATGTAATTTTTGGCACAATATCCGTGGAATCGGGGAGCCTCCTGGAGGGATGGGTGTATGGATTCTTTACCTTTTAATTCTACGCTATTCTGGATCTAAGGGATTTTTAAGGAAAAAACAAAACACGCCAGTCCATCCCTTTGGACGAATATTCCTCTGTCTATTTTTTCGACCAGTCACCCACGATGGCAGCGGTCCCTCCGGAGTTCTCCCGTCGCCGTTTGCCGGGGAGGAGACGGTGGATGCCGCCGTGCCTGGAGGACGCCTAAACACTTGGTTTGCTGACCTTCCTCGGATCAACCGGCTTTCAGCAACTCTCTCAATCCGGAGCTGCGGATGTGCTTCTTTCCGAGCGAGATAAAAAAAGTGCAATTTTTCCAGAAGGGGCGTTCAAACCGTCGTCATCTTCTCACCGTCTCGCTCTCTTTCGTGGCGAAAAATTGGGTAGAGACGGCGACGGCAGCTCGCGTTTTAACAGGAGGAACGATAAAGGACGGCGGGACTGTGGATCCGAACAAGTCAGCAAATTGGAGGACGACGACATGCTGGGGAAAAATTTTGGGACTTTCCCCCCACCCCACCCCACCCCCCACACACAAATCTTCTGGATTATAAGAGACCCTGAGCCAAAAAACCAAAAAAAAACAACAGCGAACAGATCAGCCATTTTTGCCGTGTTCATGTGCCAAGGAATCCATGGCTCAGAAAGAGATTTTAGCAAGGGGGAAGCGAGGGAAGGACTTGGGGCCAGCTCTGCATTGCGGGAATCGCTGCCATCGGTTCCCCAAGTATTTGTACACCCATGCTCCCCTGCCCTGCACCCCACTCTAGTGAGCAGACCTCCGTCCTTCCCCTGTTCAGCTGGGTCCTTAGAAAGCAAGAGATTCGGTCCTGTCTCTTTTATCGGTCGCCGTATTTGGAACATGACCTGGGGAGTTGATTAATTCACAGGACCGCCCATCTTATCCTGATGCTGACTGGTGTGTGTGTGGGGGGGAATCAATTTGGAAAACTGGCTTATGCTGGAGGGGGTTTGCAAAAATCACCCCGAAATCGAATTGCTGGAAAACAAACAAACAACCCCACTAAAGGCGCTCCTTGGGTTTTTCCTTTTATTTTTAATTTCTGTGCCAACAGAAAATGGGTTTTTTTTTTTTTGTTTGTCTGTTTGTTTTTAAGACCGCCGAAGAAAAAAACACAAGTTGCAGTGAGATTTCCCACACACACACACATACACACACACAAAAACCCCCAACCCTAGAGCAGTTCACAGGGTTTTCCTCTGAGGATTTTAAAAAAATAAAAAAAATAATTCCATTCTTTTGGGCCTGATGGTGAAACCGACGTGTGCTTCCCATTTTCGGTGAACGTATCTTAAAAAAGAGGTCAAAATGCATTTCTCACCGGTTATGACCTCTGTTTTAACAGCCCCTTCCCTTCCTCGGCCCTCTCCCCAGCTTTTGCCCTGCCTGGAAGGATGAAGGGTTTCTCTCCCAAGACCCAAAGACTGGCTATCTACTCCTGGCTACCTCCTCGCTTACCACACCGAGGCCCCATCAGCCAGGACCGAGATTGGGCCGAGGGACTCCTTGGGGGGTGAACTTTTGGGTTTGATTTGAGTGGGTCATTCTCCCCTGCCCCACGGGATCTGCTCCAGCCACGCTGTATTTTTACTGTCCTGTTTGAGCCCAAATGTAAATAAATGCTCTGTTGTCCCCATGCGCCTTGTAGGTGTTTTTTTAATATCTGCCACGATTCTTGGTTTTCAAGGTGCAGATCATTTGACAGTGGGGAAGTTACGTCTGGTTGCAGAAGGCAGAAGTAAAATGGGAGGCTTTGCTGAATTGGGTTGTTAACTGCGGTCGTGTCCGACCCATCGCGACCCCATGGACCACGTTCCTCCAGGCCTTCCTGTCCTCTGCTATCTTCTGGAGTCCATTGAAGCTCACGCCTCCTGCTTCAGGGACTCCATCCAGCCACCTCCTTCTCTGTCGTCCCCTTCTTCTCTCGCCCTCCATCTTTCCCAGCATCAGGCTCTTCTCCAGGGAGTCCTTCCTTCTCCTTAGGTGGCCAAAGGACTTGAGTTTCAGCTTCAGGATCTGGCCTTCTAAAGAGCAGTCGGGGTTGATCTCCTCCAGGACTGACCGGTTGGATCGCCTTGCAGTCCAGGGGACTCGCAGGAGTCTTCTCCGGCACCAGAGTTCAAAGGCCTCCATTCTTTGGCGCTCAGCCTTTCTTATGGCCCAACTTTCACAGCCGTACATTGCAACTGGGAAAACCATGGCTTGGACTATACACCCTTTTGTTGGCAGAGTGACGTCTCTGCTTTTTAGTGTGCTGTCTAGATTTGTTATAGCTTTCCTCCCCAGGAGCCAGCGTCTTTTAATTTCTTGGCTGCAGTCCCCATCTGAGGTGATCTTGGAGCCCAGAAAAATAAAATCTGTCACTACCTCCATTTCTTCCCCATCAATTGGCCAGGAATTGAGAGGGCCGGATGCCATGATTTTGGTTTTCGTAATGTTGAGTTTCAAGCCTACTTTTGCACTCTCCTTCTTCAACCGCATCAAGAGGCTCTTTAGTTCCTCTTCACTTTCTGCCATTAGAGTGGTATCGTCTGCATATCTTAGGTGGTTGATATTTCTCCCGGCAATCTTAATTCCAACTTTTGATTCATCTAGCCTTGCCTTTCTCATGATGTGCTCTGCATATAAGTTAAACAGGCAGGGCGACAGATATAGGAAACTCCACACCAGACACGAAACAGCTATACTTTGCAACTGGGAAAACCATGGCCTTGACAGTACGTACTTTAACTTTGGTAATTAATTGATAAATGGCATTTGCACCTCCAAGGAGAGTAAGGCAGAGAAGACGCTTTCTTAGGTGGCACCGGGTGGTTTAAGCCAGGGGTCCCCAATGCCCCGGTCCATGGACCGGTACTGGGCCACAGCATGCCAGCAACCGGTCCACACAAATAAGCAACGCCCCATCTGTGGGATGCAGGCAGCACACAAAACCACACACTTTCTGGTCCGTGGAAAAACCTCTCTCCACGGAACCGGTCCCTGGTGCCCAAAAGGTTGGGGGCCTCTGGTCTAAGCAATCTCCCTGCTTTTGAGAAGATTAAAGCTGCTGTATCTCATTGAGGAGAAGCGCTCCTTTTGCAAATGCCGAATTGAGGAGGGAATGGAGACCGCAAAGGAATTTGGATCCCTCTTAACTGCCTTCCGGCCTTCAGCGATTCTCCACCCGGGCGGCTTTGAGCTGGGTGGACTTTCAACTCCCAGAATTCCCCAGCCAGCACAGCTCAAAAGTTGCTCAAGTTGAGAAACACTATCCTGGGGTAAACAATAAGAGAGGCTGCCTGGAGTACAAGGGATTATGCTGGTTTAATGGCAGGAAAAAGCCGGAAAACGGGGCAAAACTCATTTAACGAATGTCTCCCTTAGCAACGTAAATCGGGGAGGTCAGTTGCGGTCGTAAGTCGAGGACTACCTTTATTGGGGTTCTCTTCCACAATGATAAAACCCTGAGATTGGAAATTGAGGGCTTGCAAAGCCTGGGATCACCCCCTCCCCCTCCCAGGACAACCGCAACCTTAACACCCAGTGTGATTGTGGTTGCCAACCGTCAGCACATCTTTTAAGAGAAGTGCGCATGGCTCATGCAGCTGAAACAGCAACGCCGTTCCTGGCCGGTGAGTTCCCTGTTTGTGCACCAGCCTGGCTTCGACAACCACATCCCGTTCCTCTTATTTTGACCTTTGAGGAGTTGTGGACGGCAGTTAGCTGCGCCTAGTCTCTTGTTTCCTTAGAGCAGTGTTTCTCAACCTTGACCATTTTAAGGCATGTGGACTTCAACTCCCAGAATTCCACAGCCAGCAATGCTGGCTGTGGAATTCTGGGAGATGAAGTCCACATGCCTTAAAATGGTCAAGGTTGAGAAACACTGCCTTAGAGGCCTTTTTTTTTTTTTTTTTTAGCAACTTCTGGATTTCGGACATCCAAAGTTAAACTTAAGAACGTTCAAAAAGCTAAAAGTTAACATGGAAAAAAATGAAACTAATTTCATCGCAATCCAATTTTAAATAGAAGAGGACAACCCTGGAGGTTTTTAAAGAAGAGATTCAAATGTCTGAAATGATATTAGGGTTTCCTGCTTGAGCGGGGGGGGGGGGGGGTTGAGGTGGGCGCTGGATTAGAGCAGGGCTTTTCAACCTTTTCACCCATTGTACCACTTTTAGGATATGGCAACATCCGAGGACCACCAGTCGCCTAGCAAGGTGTCAAAAACTTGATGACCCCCCCCAAAAAGGAAAAAAAGTGATAAAGTACAGGTAGTCCTCGACTTACAACAGTTCGCTTAGTGACTGTTCGAAGTTACAATGGCCCTGAAAAAAGTGCCCTCCAAGGCACAGCTGAGCAAGACCCCTGCCTGCCCACCCGGTGGCGCTCTTCCTCCTGTCCGAGGTTTTCATGGTTGTGAGCGTTTCTGTGGAGGATTGGCAGCGAGGGGGTGGGGGGGTGTTTGGTTTTTATTCCCCCCCCCCGTCTGCTGGGTGGTTGCAGCAGGTTTGGGTCACTTCACATGACCCTGGGAGACTGTGACCGTCCTAAATAGGAATCAGTTGCCAAGACTCTGAATGTAAATCACAAGATCCTGCAGAGGCTGCAACATTCCAGCTAATCAGTGCTTCTGGCCTCAGCGGAAGCCCCAGGATCAGTGCTGTTTTCCAGCTGGAAAGCAGCACTGATCCTGGCGCTTCTGCTGAGCCCTGACAGCCCTACAGCTCCAGCCGTCTCTTGCTCAGGCTTGTGCGGTGCTGCCACCGGTTCAGCTCATTCCCCTCCCCCGCTACCCCTTTTCTAGGATGGTCGCGTCCCACCTGCCAGGTGCCAATGTACCACAGGTGCTACCTGCACCACGGGTTGAAAAGCCCTGGACTAGATAACCTCCAGGATCCCTTCTGTTATTCTGAAACTTTATAGCATCTCCTGCCTGAGTGGGGGGCTGGACTAGAAGACTTCCAGTGTCCCTTCCAACTCTACTATTATTATTATTTAATTGAAAAATAGCACTTTATTAGTGCACCACTGGTTTTGCACTGGAACATTTGACCCTGTACTCAACAAGGCCCAATTTTGCAGAGAATTTTAAAACCCCTTTAAAAACCTGGTTGGGGGACTTTCAACCCACCTTCTTTTGTTGCAAACTACGACAGGTAGACTTGCAACTGTTTGTTTAGTGCCTGAAGTTACAAAAGCCCTGAAAACGGGGGGTTACGGCAGGTCCTCGCTTTTATGGCCATCACAGCATCCCAGAGTCACGGGCACTCAGCAGTTGGCATGTATTTACAACAGGATCGCCATGTTGTGATGTTCCCAGCCGGCTTCCAACTAGGAAAAGTCAATGAGGGAAGCTGGATTCATTTAACGACCGTGTGGTTCACTTAACAACTGTGGGGAAAAGGTGGTATAATCAGGCACGACTGGCTTAACCACTACCTGCCTTAGAAATTCTGGTCCCAATTGTGGTTGTAAGCCGAGGACTATCTTTACTACATGGGTAAGGAGCCAAATCCTTCCTTTCTGTGCAAAAGCAATTCACACTTGTAACAGAATAACAGAGTAATAATAATAATAATAAAGTTGGAAGGGACCTTGGAGGTCAACTAGTCCAGCTCAGGCAGGAAACTTTATACTATTTCAGACAAATGGCTGTCCAGTCTCTTCTTAAAGACTTCTAGTGTTGGAGCATTCACAGCTTTTGTTCCACTGGTTAATTGTTCTAACCGTCAGGAAGTTTCTCTTTAGTTCCAGGTTGCTTCTCTTTTTGGTTAGTTAGTTTGGTTAGTGGGAAGGGACCTCAGAGATCTTCTAGTCCAACCCCCTGCTCATGCAGGAGACCCTATAGCAGTGATGGCAAACTTTTTTGAGACCGAGTGCCCAAATTACAACCCAAAACCCACTTATTTATTGCAAAGTGCCAGGGCCGCATCAGCATTGTAGTGCCCTCGGGGGGGGGGGGCAGGAAGGCGCCTCTGAGTGCCGCCTCTGGCACGCAAAAACCAGGGGCACAAAAAGGGGCCACCGTGCTGCAAGGCGCAAAAACGGCCAAAGCTACACCGTGGGGTGCACATACAAGACACAAGACGCTGCACCACACAAGAACGGGGAAGGGCTGGTGAGTATCATGCACGCATGCCAACAGAGAGGGCTCTGAGTGCCGCCTCTGGCACGCGGGCCATAGGTTCACCACCACTGCCCTATAGTATACATTCCAGACAAATGGTTGTCCAGTCTCTTCTTAAAAACGTGGAGACAAGTCGTGATTAATTGTCCTGTCAGGAAGTTTCTCCTTAGTTCTAGGTTGCTTCTCTCCTTGATTAGTTCCCATCCGTTGTTTCTTGTCCAGCCTTCAGGCGCTTTGAAGAGCTTGACTCCCTCTTCTTTGGGGCAGCCCCTGAGACACTGGAAGGCGGTTATCATGTCCCCCCTTTTCCTTCTCTTCGTTAAACTAGACATACCCAATTCTATCAACCGTTCCTTATGTTTTAGCCTCCAGTTCCCTGATCATCCTTGTTGCTCTTCTCTGTACTCTTTCTAGAGTCTCAACATCTTTTTTACATCGTGGTGACCAAAACTGGATGCCGTATTCCAAGTGTGGCCTTACCAAGGCCTTGTAAAGTGGTATTAATACTTCACGTTATCTTGATTCTGTCCCTCTGTTGATGCAGCCTAGCACTGTTTTGGCTTTTTTGGCAGCTGCAGCACACGGCTGGCTCCTATTTAAGGAATTCTCCACTAGGACTCCGAGATCCCCTTCACAGTTACTACTATTAAGCAAGGTACCACCCATACTACACCTGTGCATTTGGTTTTTCTTACCTAAAATGTGGAACCTGACTTTTTAGCTCGTCGTCGTGGACTCTACTTAACACGCCTGAGTCATTTCTGCCCGGCGCCAGGAAACAAAACAAAACAAAACAGAAGGCGTCATAACTTCAAACTTTTTAATAAGCGATTTCATTTAAAAAACAAAAACCAAAAAAAAAGAACACCAACAGACACCCTCTTTCATTTTCAAAACTTAATTCTGTAAGACGAAAAGAAACAAAAAAAAAAAAAGGAAAACCTAACTGAAGAGTTGATGAGCCTGTTATGTTTCCTAATGGCACTTCAAAAAATCTGGTCGAAACCGGGGACTCTAAAAAAGTCCTACATTACTCCGATCAAAAGAGGTCATTTGCTGTGTTTAGAAAATTAAAAACAAAAAAAAAAGTGCTCGGTTGGGTGAGGGGCTCCATGTCGGGCGGGGGGGGGGAAGGAGGGTGGGTGTACTCCGATTTTTTGAAGAAGAAAAAAAAAGCACACACACACACACAAACAAAATTCCTCTGTACAACAAAGCCACCTGTATATAAGCCACTGTTTCTCAACCAGGGCCACTTGAAGAGGGGTGGACTTCAACTCCCAGAATTCCCCAGCCAGCATCGCTGGCTGAGGAATTCTGGGAGTTGAAGCCCACCCCTCTTCAAGTTGAAAACTCGGGTGTAAACAACTGGCAGGGCCTGCTCGTTCAATCATTGCAGAGAGAGTAACCGGAAGGGCTGAATTCCTAGTTCCTCTTCAAATCAAGGTGAGGCACCTGTTCTCACAGATGCCCTCTCCTCACACACAGGTAAGACCTGGGAGACGTGATCATCAGATCAGCAAGAACAGCAGAGGCCAGCTGTTCCATCCTCAAGACAGGCCGACCGAAAGTTCACAAACTCTTAAGCTCTGGGGAGTTATTTGTGGGTGGGGGGGTCGGGGGTGAGGAAGTCAATATCCCACCTCCTCCCAAATGGCCATTGTGGGTCTTGCCTGCCGTTTTGTAATCCTTGTGCAAGGAACACTTGCTATTTTTTCCCGTTGCAAACAACTGGAAGAGGGCGCTGTACCACCTCTGCTTACCAATATATATATATATATATAGTTATTAAGGATATATAATATATATATATATATATATATTCTGAGGTTTTCGCGGGTGTTTGTATGTTGGTCTTTGGTTATTCGGGTTTTCTCCCACGTAAAATTGGAAGTGTCTTGGCAACGTTTCAACGAAGTCCCATTCGTCATCTTCAGGCTGGTGTTTTTGGCTTCGTCATCTTCAGGCTGGTGTTTTTGGCTTCGTGCTTCTAGGAGCTCCTAGAAGCACGAAGCCGAAAACACCAGCCTGAAGATGACGAATGGGACTTCGTCGAAACGTCAAATGGGACTTCGTCGAAACGTCGCCAAGACACTTCCAATTTTATGCGGGAGAAAGCCCGAATAACCAAAAACCTACATACATACATACATACATACATACATACATACATACATACATACATACATATATATATATATATATATATATATATATATATGGAGTTTGAGAACCAATCCCCCAAAAATGGGGCGGAAAATTGGTTTTCGATTATCTTTTTTAAAAAGGGGGAGAATAGATGCCTAACTTTGGGGCGACTGCAAAGCTTGAAGCAGCAACCCATTTGGGTCTTGGACAACATTGCCATGAGACAACTCACTGCAGGTCACGAGTTAACCCTAAATATTGCAGGAATGGCGGAAGAGAATTTTGAAAGGCAGAGGAGGCAATGATGGGAGGGTCAAACTGAAATGCTGAACGAACCAAAAAAAAAAAAAATGGTATTTTTTTAAATCAGTGTAAATACTTAAAAATGGTTGAGTTGTCCCTGGTAGGCTGAGTTGGCCGCACCAAATTGTCCCTTTCCAAATCTTTTTTTTTTTTTCCGTTTGGCTTCTTGGGATGAAGTCCCAAGGTGAGGAATCACGTACAATAATTGGGAGAAGTTGGATTCGTTTAATACAGGACGTGCGAACGGGAGAGGGGAACGCTAGCTGTGAGCCTAGCACAGAGGCGGATCTTTTCCAGATCTTTTGGATTTTATTAGCCTTAACTACTACAAGGGGACAGTGGGACCTGTCACCCAAAATAAATTCATAGTCCCCATACTATCAAATGCATAAAGTCTTCAAACAAAGCAGAATCACGGGGGGAGGGGGGGGGAAGAGAGGGGGTATCAAATAAAATAAATCCTGAAGAAAACAAATAACAAACAGAGAGAAAGTTGATCCTCTTATTACAGAGTTTGCTTAAAATACTTCCCCTTCGTGGGGCTATTTTCAGTTTAAGTTATTGATTCCCATATAGATCACTCTAAAAGCCATTAGGACTACGTAGGGCCCTCTTTCTTATGGGGGAGATTAAAATTAATCCCACTGGCGGTGAGGGAAGAATTGGGGAAGTTTTCCTAAGAGGGACAGCCCCCCCCCCCCTAAATCCAAGGCATATTCTGAATTACAGAAGGGGAGGATGGAAAACCACGGGAACAGGAGCACCCAGTAGGTGTTGCTGTCAAATCCTGAGTAATTTGTTCTTTTAGGAGGGACGGGGGGGGGGGGGGAACTAAAATAAAATCTCAGGATTTTAGCCAGCCGAAGAGAAACATTTCAATATATACACCGGAAACAGATCACCACAAAAGCAGCCGAACAGTCACACTGCTTATCGCTAAGAAAAAGGGAAGAAATGACTCTGAACGAAGAGCTTCGAACATCCTGTGGATTTAGCGTCACAAAAGAGCGGCAGGGTGGAGACGACAAAGCCAGCAAAAGCAAAATTTGGGTGGGGGAAACACACACACACACACACACACACACACACACACCAGAGACACGAGCTAAACCTGGCACTAAAGAGTGCAAAATAGCCATAGCACTTATCTACCACTTCACAGTGCTTTGCAATCCTGTGTAAGCGGTTTACAGAGTCAGGGTTTCCAACAATCTGGATCCTCGTTTTACCGGCCTCGGAAGGATGGAAGGCTGAAATCAACTTTGAGCTGGTCACGATCGAACCGCTGGCAGTCGGCAGAGTTAGCCTGCAATGCTGCATCCTAACCACTGCGCCACCACAGGAGCAACTGTCCTTAATAAAAATGGTTCAAAGGCTTTAGAAAGCAGGAGATGAGATTACCGAGTAGGGAAGCACCTCACATTAATTCCTCTTGACCCGGGTGATCAACTATGGCGGCTTTACAACCCATGGACTTCAACTCCCAGCATTCCTGAGACAGCCGCCTCTTCCCTTGCCGAGGAATACAAGTCACTTCCTTGGAATGGAGAGGCACAACTTTACACTCTCCACACTTTAAAAGGCTACACCTGTAGCTATCCAAATACTCTTTTTAAGTCTCCCCAAGACCAAGCAAGCTTTTTTTCCATTACGCATCATACCACAGGGAAAAAAAAAAAAAACCCAAAATATGTTTTGTGGGCCACTCTACAGAATCTTCATCTTTCTTTGGAATGTTACTTCCGGCTCAGGAATCCCGGGAATTGAAGTCCACAGGTTGCCAAGTTGCCGTGGTTGACCCCCTTCCTGTCCTTTGACTATGTCTTAAAAATCACCTTTCTGTTATCGGTTTTTGTGCGGCTGGCATCTGCCACCCCAGAGACCTGATCCCAAGGATCTGATCCTATCGTGTCTTTCAGGACCTAGAAAGGATCACCCCGTAGTGAGCGATCCAGTTGTAAATTCGAGGAGCTTGGGACAACACCTTTTTTTTTTTGCCAATAAAGTTTTGCGGCAACAAAATGCATGCCAGGAAAACAAACCCTGCTTAAAGGGACAAGAGATGTTTCCGCAAACTACCTTTCGAAAGGATGTGAGACTTTTAAAAAAAACAAAAAAACATTTATTTGGAAAGCACAATTAATGAAAGGCCAGTTGGTTGCCAACCCACCCAGAGTTTAAATAGAATTTTCCCCCCTTTATGGTTTATACTTCCTTGCCAGTAAGGGGAGAATGCCTGCAGATGAACACATAAACCCGTCACCAAAAAGGAAATATGAACTGGCAAAGCAAGAGCGCTCCCATTTTTTTCCTGCGCCCCAAAACATGAGGTCACGTACAAATAAATTCTCTTGAGTTTCCCTCCCTCCTAGCCCTGGCAAAGGCAGAGACCTCAATCTTCCTTTTTAAGTGCTCACTCGCCAGCAGTGACAATTGATCAGGATATTGACTTCACGCCTGGTTAATTTTACTCCAGGGTGAACATTTACAAAGTCCTCTTTCCTCCCCCCCCCCCAAACCGGGAGCACTTTGGCTCAAAATGGAGAGCCACCTAGAATAGCGACGGTCCTTTTTCCTCCACGGTGCAGAAATATTATCCTATTTTTCCCTCGTTCTGGGTTCGTTTTTGTTTTTTTCCAACACCGTGATCGAAAGCTTTATTTTTTATGAACAGAAATTCTTCCCTCCCAGGGGTCTGCTCTGAGCAAAATACAAGCCACGGCACACGCCTGGATTGGCGAGGCACAACGTTATACCATCTCTTCTTTAAAAAGCTACACCTGTAGCTACATGGATAAAGACCCCTGTTGGGTCCTTGACCTCACCAAAAGACTAAACAAGCGTCCTTTTCATTGCCCGTCACGCTGCACAAAAACCGACCAACCCCCCAAAAAATATTTGTGGATCCTCTGCAGGATCACCGCCTTCCTTTGGAAAACTGGAGTTTGGAGAGAGTTTGGATCAGTAGTACTTAGGAATATTTGATCTTACAGCTCTTTTGTAAGAAAGATGACTGAAGCTTAGATCTCCCCCATCTTTTCTTGTAGGTTTTTTTGTTTTTTGTTTTTAAACTGAATGCCATTTTCTATAGCAGTGTTTCCCAAACTTGACAATTTTAAGGCATGAGGACTTCAACTCCCAGAATTCCACAGCCAGCGTTGCTGGCTGTGGAATTCTGGGAGTTGAAGTCCACATGCCTTAAAATTGTCAAGTTTGGGAAACACTGTTCTACAGCAGCAGAGAGATCGGGGTGGATAGAAGACTCACTCACCGCTGCTGTTTCAGCATCGGCGTTGAATCTAGGGCTGAAATAAACCCATTTTTCTCGTTAGGAAAGAGTCGTCTTTTGATACGGACAGGAATGCTCTGTCTTTTTTTCCCTGTTTTTAATTATCTTTGGTTGGGTCCTGAAACAAAGGGACAAGCAGCCCCAACGGAGGAGGGCTTATGAGCCAGAACGCACTCTTGGCATGTCGCGTTTGCTAAAACGATCGAGCGGAAGGACAGAGAAGAGACGGAGAAGTGCCCGAAGCTGCGAACTAAGCCAACTCGGCAAAACAGGATCTCTTGAATCAGCTTTTATGTCTAAGTCCAATGCCATCCTGGAGAAACTGAAAACGTGGAATAATCTTTCTTTTTTTTTTTTTTTTTTCCTTCTCGTTAAGTTTTGAGGTAGGGATGTGAGGATTGCATAAGAGGACAATGTGCAACTCTATCTGGAAAGGGAGTTAACAGGAAATGCAACCGAGGTATTTAAGAATACTGAAACCATCCGGAGACGCCCAGCCGTTCTCCAGGGCAAGAAGGCACACGCTGAAATCGGAAAGGCAACGTCTGACCGCGAAAGACCAGGAAGCAGGGCCTGTGGAACTCAAGGCCACATGCCGTCGATGAGGTAAGTCTTACACAAAAATCTCGAGACAGATCGCGAAGGACACGCCGCGAGAAAGAACAAGGCCGTCTACGCCCGACGCAGAAGGCCTACGCCTGGGACAGACGGGATCCTGCCGACGGGGATGGAGGCTAGATTTTCCAAAGCAATCTGGAATTACAAGGAAGAAATGAACAGGTGTTTTTTCTTTTTAAAGCATCTGCTAAGGACAGGCGTTGAAAGAAGCCAGCAAATGCACTGCAGAGATCACCTTAACGTATCTGGGCAAGTAGGAGAGCCACAGCAGACCCCCTTAGCGCTGCTCCCTACGCAGTGAGGTAAAAGGAAGGGGCCTGTGGGGGTACCCCTGAAATGGATGGAGGTGGACCCTCCCCAAATGAGGCCTCCGGCAGCCACTGGAGAGGCATTGAGAGGTTAAGAGCAGAGGCTCTTATCATGAGGTATTCACTGTAATAAGACAGTAAGACTGCTCGCTCAGGAAACTACGGGCAAGTAAGACAGAGATGGCTGACCTGGAATTTGCACAAGAGCCCTGAGCTGGGGAGGGGAGAGTTGAAGGTGAGAATGGGAACAGGACCCCTTTGAAAGTCCCTGTTAATTCCCGTATTTAATCCCCCAGGATTAAATCAGTTACAGGTGACATTCTGAGCAGGCTCAGTAATTAAAAAAATGGGGGCACCTCCTGCCGCCCCTTCTCAGCGACGTCCTGCAGCCCTCGGGGAGATCGGGCGGCTGAACGTCTTCTAAATTAAGCCTGGGAAGGAACGGAGGAGAAAGAAGACAGCAGGCAGACACTATGGCGGGGGTCCCCAACCCCAGACCCACAGCCCACTACCGGGCCACAAGCCGTTTCAAACCCAGCCACAGAAGCAGAGGAGAGCAAGCACGCGCGTGCTTCCCCCTTGCACGAGCAGCAGGGCACGTGCGCGTGCTCCATCGGCACAAGCGGCAGGCGTGCGTGCCCAACCCCTTCGTGCAAAGGGAGCTACTCGCCCGCTTGCGGGACCATCCCAGTCCCCCTCCGCCCCCAGACTGCAAAACTGGAAAGGCTGGGAAACAACTCTGCACGACGGGAAGCGTAACGGAGGACTCGGCTCGCTTTTGCCGTGTCGACCCTCTCCGAATCGCCCGTCGCTTGCTAAGGCAGAAACAAATGCCGCAGGCCATGATCCTCGTTCTGATTTTTGCTCCGGGCCGAGTTCATGTTAGGAATGTGAGGCCCCGGGAGGCCACAGCTGGGCACCTTGCAGGGAGACAGAAGGGAGCATCAAGGCTCTGGAGCTCAAGAGGCGAGCCAACCGTGCAGGGAAGGAAGGGGGTGTGCAAATAAGAGGCTGTTGGGTTACACTCGCCCCCCCCATTCAAAAAAGGTTACTGACTTCCCCGCTAAGAAGCTGAGTCCGCAGAAAGCAAGGCTGCCTCACCTCCGCTGCACCCCACGTTTTTCCCTTCCTGCAAGGTTGGCGTGCTCAGGCTGCGGGTGGGGCTCGGGGGGAGGGGCACGGCGGCTGCTGGTGAAAAGGTGATTTGCACACTCGCTATCGAAAATTGCCCCGAAGGCACCGAGAAGCTGAAACAAACTTTGTTTTTCTTGAGCCCCGAGGCCAAACACCCTCATCCCTCAATAAGCTTGCTTGTGTCCAAACGGCCGAGATTTAGGGAAAAAAAAAAAAAAAAAGAGGAAATCTCAGCCGGGCAGAACGACGAGCCTGGCTCCTGATCAGTTAAGTCTTTTCGGGAAAAGACCACGGCCGATGGCTGCTGTTGCTAGACCCTAACATCCTTTGGGAAACCCACTCAAAACGAGAAAACAAAAAAGCAGACAATCACAGGGAGGATTCTTCTGTTGAAGGGTTCTTTTGACCCGCTCAGAGATCTGGGAGGAAAGAAAAAAAAAAAACACACACACACACGCGCGCGCACACACAACCCTCTAGAGTGCTAAACTAAATTGGCAAAAGCTGAAGCCATTCCCAGTCAGTTTGATTTCCCCACAGGGGAAGATATGGAAGTAGTAGTAGTGAGGTGAAACTGGAGCTAGCCGCTTTCACGGTGTAAACAGTGTCTTCGCCGTGCCCGGGACCCTGACGGATCTCTGCGACACTACCTGATTCGTAATAGCGGGAAACGGTGGAGTAAACATGATCCTGCAGCCAGGCATGGTCGGGAAACGGATCCAAAAGGGGTGGGGGGTCGGGGGAAAAAAAGAGTCTCGGTTTACAAAGGCGGCGTCGCGGGAATCGCCGCTACCGCCGCCGGAAGTCGTGGGGGAGAGAGAGGTGAGGGAGGGGAGAGAAAAAGGGGATTCCTGCCGCACGGACCAAGCGACACACAACTGCAGGAGGCGCGTTGGGCCCTCGTTGGGAATCGACCGTGACTTCAGCTCCTCCGAACACGGAGCGAGGCTGGGGAGGGGGGGGGGAGAAAAAAAAAAGACTCCGGCGAGGTTCCCGATTACCAACAACGTAAAAAGAAGAAGGAAAAAAAATAATAATAAAATACCTGAAATGCTATTCACTGCAACCTATTTCCCCTGTCCAGGATTTGGGGTGTACACAAGTTCCAGTTCCCCCCCTCGAGCTGTTTTTTTTTCCCCTCTCCCCCCCTGCTGGAAAGACGACGAAGCCGAGCACGCTGGCGGTGCCCCCGAATCCGCCTTTGCCCGGAGACGCTCTGCTTTCGTCCAGCGCGCTCACTGGAATGCTTGGTGGAAACGTGGCAAAGTGGTGGCCCCCAGGCCCGGGGAGAACATGGAGGGCAAGGGATGCAGCGCCCCAAAGCCGAGCGAGGGGGCGGCTCCCGGAGGGGACTCCTGCGGCGGCAGGGCGGTGAGGAGGGACTGGGTCTCTCCCTGGGAATACCCCATCACCAGCCCCCCCGAGGAGACCGGGGGGGTGCAGGAGGGCAGGTTCAAGGGCAAGAAGCCCAGGAGGTGGGAAAAATCCATGTTAGCAGCACAGAGCGCTTCCGATAGGAGAGCCGGGCTCTTGGAGAGCAGGCTGTCCTCCAGGCTGGCCGGCTGAGGGGGGGAGGAGGAGGGCTCGCCCGCGATCAGCGAAAGGCTGCCGGGCAGCTCTGCCAGGCCGCTGTCCACCTCTGCTTTGGGGATTTTGTCGGGGAAGTATGAGGTAGATCCGAGCTGGTATTTGGGGGGCGGCTGCGGGGACGAAGGTTCCAGAGGGTAGCTCATTCCCATCGGGAGAGGGTTGGGGACTAGCGAAGGGGGCATCCCTGAGCCAGGCAGGGCCGGGACGTGCGCCCCGTACATGCCCATGGGCAACATGCCAGGAAAGGCCTTGCCGCCCATCACCTCCCGGGAGGCCATGCACAAGACCGGGCTGAGCTCCTCCTTGACCGCCACGGCCGAGCTGCAGCTGAGCAGGCCCAACATGTCCACGGGCTCCGCCTTGATCTTCAGCAGCTCCTGGGAGTGGCTCTTCTTCACGTGCCGGGTCAGGTGGTCCTTCCGGCCGAAGCGCTGGGCGCAGTACTGGCACAGGAAGTCCTTCCGCCCCGTGTGCACCACCAGGTGGCGCCGCACGTCCTTGCGGGTGTAGAAGCGGCGGTCGCAGTGGTCGCAGGGATGCTTCTTCTCCTTGGCGCCGCCCGAGGGCCTGCGCGAGTGGGCCTTCAGGTGCTCCAGCAGCGCCTGGGTGCTCTCGAACACCTGCAGGCAGACCTTGCAGCTCAGGTCGCCGCTGGCCGCCGCGTGCATGGCCAGGTGGCGCCGGTAGCCCAGCTTGGTGTTGTAGTTCTTGCCGCACTCGGGGCAGTGCAGGGCCTCCTTGTTGGGGTCGTGGGTGTGGAGATGGTTGCGGAGGTGGTCCTTCCGATGGAACATCTTCTCACAGTACATGCATTGGTGGGGCTTCTGGGCCGAGTGGGTGGCCAGGTGCCTTTTCGGGAAAGGAAGAAGGAAGGGAAGAATAACTGTAGCTGCCGTCTCTGCCTTTGCTGGACATGGACGGAAGAGAACGGAATGAAACAAGGAGCAAGGAAGGGAATGGAGAACAGAACAGAGCAGGATAGGATAGGTATTGCAATGCAGAACAGAACGGAGTGGAATGGAATGGAATAAAAACAGAATAGAATAGAATAGAATTAAAACAGAATAGAATAGAACAAGAAATAAGAATAGAACAGAATAAGAAATAAGATTTGAACCGAATAAATAAGAAATAAGAATAGAACAGAACAGAATAAGAAATAAGAATAGAACAGAACAGAATAAGAAATAAGAAAAGAATAGAACAGAAAGAATAAGAAATAAGAATAGAATAGAATAGAATAAAACAGAATAAGAAATAAGAATAGAATAGAACAGAGTAAGAAATAAAAATAGAATAGAATAGAATAGAATGGAATTGAATGAAATTATGGAATGGAATAGAATATTCTGAATTCTATTCTATTCTGAATTCTATTCTATTCTTTTAATTCTATTCTTTTAATTCTATTCTTTTAATTCTATTCTGTTCTGTTTCTATTCTATTCCATTCCATATTTTCTATTCAATTCCATATTTTCTATTCCATTCTATATTTTCTATCCCATTCCATTCCATATTTTCTTTTCTATTCTATTTGTATTGCATTCCATTCCATATTTTCTATTCTGTTCTATTCTATTCTATTCTATTCTATTCTATTCTATTCTATTCTATTCTATTCTATTCTATTCTGATTCCATTCCATTCCATTCCATTTATTTTCCATTCCAACCCTCCCCCCTGCAAACTGGCTCTTGGGCAGCTCAGCCTACCTGCCAATATTCCCTCCCTCCCTCCCACCCCCAAACCAGGTGAGCTCGGAGGATTTGAACCCGGCCCTGCCCGGCCCTAAACTCCCCTCACATCGCCCAGCATACCTGTAGAGCTTGTACTTGGAGGCAAAGGCCTTGCCGCAGTGCAGCTGAGGGCAGCAATAGGGTCTGGGTTCCGGACTGGCTCTCAGCTTCTCCACGCCAGGGAAGGCAGCTTCTGACAGCTCATACTGGCACTTGCCTGGGCTCTGGCTCTCTCGGGTTCTGGGCCTGGGCACTAGTTTCCAGCCCACCTCCTCCTCCTCTTCCTGCTTGGCATCTTGAATCCAATTGGGAACACTGGTGAAGAAGGCGGTCATGGCAGGCCTGTAGAATTGTTGCTCTTGTGCATCTCACTGGTCCACCCTAGTCGCCCTTTCCAAAGACTTCAGTAGACAAAGTCCTGGAAGGAGCAAAGGAAATTCGTAAGGGGAGAGGGGGGGGGAGGAAATGACACACAACCACACGGCAGGACCCTCACCCTTGACTTACGACCACGACTGAGCCCCAAACCTTCCCTGCTCAGCAGCACACCTGGTAAGTAAGTAACACTTAGCTGCCAAAAAGGCCAACACAGTGCTAGGCTGCATAAACAGAGGGAGAGAATCAAGATCAGGTGAAGCGTTAATACCACTTTACAAGGCCTTGGTAAGGCCACACTTGGAATGCGGCATCCAGTTTTGGTCACCACGATGTAGAAAAGATGTTGAGACTCTAGAAAGAGGGCAGAGAAGAGCAACAAAGATGATCAGGGGACTGGAGGGTAAAAACATATAAGGGATGGTTGCTGGAATTGGGTATGTCTAATTTAATGAAGAGAAAGATGAGGGGGGACATGATGGCAATCTTCCAATATCTCAGGGGCTGCCCCAAAGAAGAGGGAGTCAAGCTATTCTCCAAAGCACCAGAGGGCAGGACAAGAAGCAACGGATGGAAACTCATCAAGGAGAGAAGCAACCTAGAACTAAGGAGAAAATTCCTGACAATTGAGGACAATTAACCAGTGGAACAACCTGCCTCCAGAAGTGGTGAATGCTCCAACGCTGGAAGTTTTTAAGAAGAGACTGGACAGCCATTTGTCCGAAATGGTATAGGGTTTCCTGCCTGAGTAGGGGGTTGGAGTGGATGACCTCCAATGTCCCTTCCAACTTTATTATTATTATTATTATTAGTAGTAGTAGTAGTAGTAGTATTACTACTACTACTACTACAGTCATTAAATGAAGTTGGCTCCCCCATTGAGTTTGTTTGTCAGAAGATCACAAAAGGGGGATCCCGTGACCCTGCGACCGTCATAAATACGAGTCAGTTGACAAGCGTCTGAATTCTGATCACATGACCAGGGGGAGGCTGCCAAGGTCGTTACACCAAAACTGTACTACTTCTAAACGACTTCAAAGATAAATAGAGCCGAGGTGGCGCAACTGTTAGAGTGCAGTACTGCAGGCCACTTTAGCTGACTGTGTTCAGCAGGTCAGCGGTTCAAATCTCACCGGCTCAAGGTTGACTCAGCCTTCCATCCTTCCGGGGTAGGTAAAAGGAGGACCCAGATTGTTGGGGGCAATGTAAATATATATATATATACATTGCTTACTGGTGTACACCGCTTAGAGAGTGCTTGCACTTAAAGCAGTATATAAGTCTCATAAATAAATAAACAGTCCACCAAGTCCTATCTTGGTTGACTGCAGGTAGTCCTCGACTTACAACCGTTCATTTAGTGACCGTACAGTTACAATGGCACGGAAAGAGGTGACGCGACTGTTTTTCACACCGACGACCACTGCAGCGTCCCCCATGGCCACGTGATCAAAATTCAGACGCTTGGCAACTGACTCGTACTTATAATGGTGGCAGCATCCCGGGGTCACATCGTCCCCTTTTGTGACTTTCTGACAAGCCAAGTCAGTGGGGGTAAACTGGATTCGCTTAACAACCGTATTACTCACTTAACCACTGCACGGATTCGCTTAACAACCCGTGGCAAGAGAGGTCGTAAAACCAGGACAAAACTCAGGAAACGTCTCACTTAGCAACAGAAATTCTGGGCTGTGAGTCGTAAGCCAAGAACAATCTGTGTCAAGTCCTTGCAACAAGACACAGCCTCTTCTCTTACCTGTAAAAGCACCTCAGTCTGAATATGTGTTCCTCATTTTAAAAACTGCAGTCTTGGAAAAAAGGACTTTATTCCAATTCAGAACGAGGTGTGCAGGTGGCACACAAGGCAGAAACCTGCAATGTTTGTGTACCTGCTTAGGAATTTGGTGAGCAAACAAGGCAGTTTTCACTCAGTTGCACCCGATCCAAGTGAGTCAAATATGACAAGGTCAGATAACCTCAAAGAGGTGAAAACAGGCCGTCCGCTCCAGTAATTTTCCCTATTCTCCCACCCATCACCGAACGGGACGGACAGCTTCCATTGTTTAAAAGGTAGGAAATGTACACACGGGCAGTCCTCGGCTTACGACCGCAGCCGAGCCCAACCTTTCTGTGGCTAAGCCGAGACGTTTGCAAAGTGAGTTTTGCCCCCTTTTACGACTCTTTCTCCTGGCCACGCTTGCTAAGGGAATCACTGCCCATGTCAAATGAGTCGCGCGGTCGTTAAAGCGGAATCTGGCTTCCCCCGTCGACTTTGCTGGCCACAAGGTCGCAAAAAGGGGATGACGTGACTCCAAGACCCTGAAACGGTTATAAATGTGAGTCAGTTGCCAAGCGTTTTCGATCCCGTGACTACAGGGACGCTGCAATGGTCGTAAGTGTGAAACACAGTCCTAAGTCACTTTTTCAGGGCTCTTGTAACTTGGAACAGTTGTTAAGTCACGAGCTACCTGTATCCCTTTTGCAGACGCGTAGCTTTTGTTTACGTGACGTAGTAAATTACAAACTAGCCAATTGTGGGTTGGGTGACCCCAGGAAACTGAGCGGAGGATGCTACGATTGAATTTTCCATAGAGAAAGAAACACAAGGGCCAGGGGTAGGCAAGCTCAGCTCTTTTAGGACTCGTGGACTTCAACTCCCAGAATTCCTGAGCCAGCTGTGCTGAGGGGAAAGGGAGAGGTTTCCATGCTAAGCCACGCTGGCTCAGGAATTCTGGGAGTTGAAGTCCACAAACCATGAAGGGGCCGTAGTTCCCCCATGCTGGCTCAGGAATTCTGGGAGTTGAAGTCCACCAGTCATGAGGGGGCCATAGTTCCTCCATGCTGGCTCAGGAATTCTGGGAGTTGAAGTCCACGAGTCATAAAAGAGCCAAGGTTGCCTGCCCCTGCACAAGGCCAACTGAATCCGGGGGGAAAGTTATCCCAACCAGCATTCTATGTCTCATAAAATAAAAAGAGCTGCAAAATGCAAAAATAATTTGTTCCATGGAAACACTTGCGGGCACTTATGCCTCTGTAGCTACTTTTCATCACACCCCAAAGGTAACAAAATCACACAAGAAATCTTTTCAGACAGGAAATAGATGTTATATGGGGGGGGGGGGAGAGAGAAAGTATTATGGACTCCTCCATTGCTGTTTTGGAAAGAAACAGTCCTTTTTCTCTTAGAAGAGAATACTTGTCGGTTCCTTGGTGCTCTCTGAGCTTGGTGGCTTTCTTGCAGACGTTTGGTTACACAATTAGCTAACACCATCAGTGCTAGAAGGGAGTGGGGATTGCAGAGAGGAGGAAAAGGAGAAGAGAAGGAGAAGAAAACAGGAAAAGGAGAAATATGAGGTCCTTAGTGTTCTCTAAGCTGGGCCATTTTCTTACCGATATTTCATGACCCTAAATCGTCGGTTTTCAACCTGTGGGTCGGGACCCCATTTGGGGTCGAACGACCATTTCACGGGGGTCACCAAACAACGCAGTCCGCCATTTTTTCCCCCCTTTTCCTTAGCTGTGCTACTCCCTTTTATTCTATGGGCTTTTGAAAGCCAATAGAATAGACCCTCTTGAATAGAGTCTAATTCTATTGGCTTTCTAAAGCCAAGAGGAATTGTCCAGGCTGTCTCTGCCCTGCTGAGCCCGCCAAAAGCCCCATTCTGCAAACGGTGCTGCACCAGTTGAGTAGTCCTCGACTTACGACCGGTTGAGTAGTCCTCGACTTACGACCGGTTGGGGGTCGCGGCATTAAAAAGGTTGAGAACCACTGCCCTAAATAAATAGGGAACATCACCAGTGTTAAAAGGAGAGTGGGGTCTTTGGTTCTCTCTCAGATGGGCTGCTTTCTGGCAGATATTTCACGGCCCAACCAGGGAACATCTTCAGTGCTAGAAGGGAAACGGACAGCAAATCCCACTCCATTCTGATGATGATGTTGCCTAGTTGGGTCATGAAATGTCTGCAGGAAAATCACCAAGCTCAGAGAGCACCCAAGACCCCAATCCTCCTCCTCTCTGCACATCCCCCCCTTGCGTCTAACACTGATAAAGTTACCTCCTTGGCTAATGAAACGTCCACAAGAAAACAATCAAGGTCAGACAGCACCAAGGATCCACAGTCCTCCTCTTCCTCCATCATTCCAGAACCCCCCCCCTTCTAGCACTGATGATGCTGCCTAGATGGTTCATGAAACGTGTGTAAGAAAACTACCACACTCAGAGAGCTCCAAAGGATCCCACAGTCTTATTTGTCTTCTTCTCTTGTGGCAGCTGAAGAATTCTGGGAGTTCAAGTCCACAAGTCATAAAAGGGCCAAGTTTGAAGCCCCTGGCTTAGATGGAGCAGGACCTCCAGAGACCAAGCAAGGCATCTGCACAAAGCAGAAAGGAGAGAAGAGACCTCCCTGACACCACTGGATGCAATCTGAAGCCTTCCAGCCCTGAGATATGACTCCATCCAGGGCAGCTTTTCTCAACCTGGGCTACTGTGGACTTCAATTCCCAGAATTCTCCAGCCAACATGCTTTAAGATGGGTGGGCTTCAACTCCCAGAATTCCCAACCAGCAGACTTTAAGATGGGTGGGCTTCAGCTCCCAGAATTCCCCAGCGAGCGTGCTTTAAGAGGGGTGAGGTTCAACTCCCAGAATTCCCCAGCCACCATGCTTTAAAATCGTTGAGCTTCAACTCCCAGAATTCCCCAGCCACCATGCTTTCAGAGAGGGGGACTTCACTCCCAAAATTCCCCAGCCAGCATGCTTTAAGATGGGTAGTCTTCAACTCCCAGAATTCACTAGCCACCCTGTTTTAAGAGGGATCGACTTCAACTCCCAGAATTCATCAGCCACGTTTTGAGGGGGAAGGATTTCAATTCCCAGAATTCCCCAGCCAACATGCTTTAACGTGTGTGGACTTCAACTCCCAGAATTCCCCAGCCACGTTTTAAGAGGGGGTGGACCTTGACTCCCAGAATTCCCCAGCCACCATGCTTTAAGAAGATCGTTGAGCTTCAACTCCCAGAATTCCCCAGCCACCATGTTTTGAGAGGGGTGGACTTCACTCCCACCCAACATTCCCCAGCCAGCATGCTTTAAGATGGGTAGACTTCAACTCCCAGAATTCCCCAGCCACCATGTTTTCAGAGGGGTGGACTTCAACTCCCAGAATTCCCCAGCCATCCTGTTTTAAAAGGGGTCGACTTCAACTCCCAGAATTCGTCAGCCACATTTTGTAGAGAGAAGGATTTCAATTCCCAGAATTCCCCAGCCAACATGCTTTAACGTGTGTGGACTTCAACTCCCAGAATTCCCCAGCCACCATGCTTTTAGAGGGGTGGACTTCCACTCCCAGAATTCTCCAGCCACCGTGCTTTAACATCAGTGAGCTTCAACTCCCAGAATTCCCCAACCACGTTTTGAGAGGGGTGGACTTCAACTCCCAGAATCCCCCAGCCAACACGCTTTCACACAGGGGGATTTCAATTCCCAGAAAGCATGCTTTAAGAGGGGAGGACTTTGACTCCCAGAATTCCCCAGCCCCCATGCTTTAACATCAGTGAGCTTCAACTCCCAGAATTCCCCAGCCACCATGTTTTGAGAGGGGTGGACTTCAACTCCCAGAATTCCCCAGCCCCCATGCTTTAACATCAGTGAGCTTCAACTCCCAGAATTCCCCAGCCACCATGTTTTGAGAGGGGTGGACTTCAACTCCCAGAATTCCCCAGCCAACATGCTTTCACACGGGTGGGCTCTAATTCCCAGAAAGCATGCTTTAAGCGGGGAGGACTTTGACTCCCAGAATTCCCCAGGCAGCCATAACTACAGTTAGCCTGGGAATTGAAGTCCACCATCTTCAAGCAGCCAAGATGGAGAAACTCTGGTCCAGAGGAAGGCCAGAGTGCCCCACTTCCAGGAGAAACCCCCCCCAGGGCCAAATAAAGCGACCCCAACTGAAAATAAGAGTCTCCAAAGGCCCTTCTTGACCCTCTTCCTGGCTTCTGGTCCTTCCTTTGGGTTTCCTCACAAACGTCCCCCCCCTCACATTGGCCTTGGGGGGGGGGAGGCCAAACAGCCCCCCCCCCTCAATCGACGGGCGCCCGAAATGTTCCGCCGAGCCGTTCAGGCAGCGCGCATGCGCCCTGGAGCACGCAGCCCTCCCTCCCGCCCGGTCTGCTTCGCTCTTCCTTTCTCCACGCCAACGCCCCCCCCCGCGCGAGCGCGCGCGCGGCCCTCCGTTTTTCCCGCTCCGTTTCCGCGCTCACCGCCGCCGTGGCTCCCCTCCGGGCGCCTCGAGTGCCCGGAGGGAAGGGAGGAAGGCCCGAGGTTTGCCGCAGGAGTCCGAGGCGAGGCAGAGGCCCCATGGCGGGGCGGAGGGGCGCCGGGAGGGAGGGGAGGAGGCGACGAAGGGCGACGAGGCCTCCGGCCCAGCAGTCTGTGGTTTTTTTTTTTTTTTTTTCCCCTCAGGCGGGCTGGCTCGCGCCGCTCAAGGCCTCCATGGCGCCACTTCCGGCCCGGACCGGAAGTCACCCCGTCCTGCCCTGCCAGGCGCGCGCGGGGCCTGGCGGGAGGGGCGGGGCCGGGCCGGGCGAACCGGTTTCTATGGAGACGGCCCGAGAGGCCTAACTAGGCCGACGGCCTCTTCGGCGGAGCCAGGCGGCGATGGCGGCGGCGGCGCTCGGTGTCCTCCTGTTCTGCCTCTCCCTCCCCAGCCCCGGCTGCGCCGACGACGGCTGGGACCCGTCCGGATACCTGCTCTATTGCCCCTGCATGGGTGAGGCCCGGTTCCGCCGCTTCTGGGCTGCCGTTCCTACTCTTCCGCCCATGGGTTGAGAGGACGATGTAGGGAGCGGCTGGACTTGGCCCGGCTCCCTTCGCCCTGCGCTGCCGGCCTCCGACGGGACGCCTTCCTCGGTGGACTGGATTACAACTCCCATCATCCCCGGGAGTCCTGCTGGCGAGGGGGGGGGCGATTGAGCAAGGCTTTAGGACGGGTGAGGAAACCATAGGCCCGTGGATGACTTGTGGACTACAACTCCCAGATGCCTGAGCCAGCATGACTGGCTGGGGAATTCTGGGAGTTCAAGTCCACAAATTCACAAAAGGGTCCATGGTTCCCCACCCCTGCTTTAGGGGGGAGCTTCGGAGGGTCGGAGACGGGGGGGGGTGTCTTCGAGGTCTTTCTGCCGCTCCGTTTGTTTGCATTTTATTTAATGTGGTGGAAGGATGAAATGTGTGGGGCCGTCCCTCTTTTAGGCCGTTTATTTATTTCTTTGTTAAGTTTATTTGCTGCCTATCTCACCCTAGGGCTTCTCTAAGCGGCTTTATCTATCTCGATAGATTGATAGATATAGATATATAGATATATTTATTACTGGTTTTATATATATGTAGGTCTTTGGTTATTCGGGTTTTCTCCCGCGTAAAATTGGAAGTGTCTTGGCGACGTTTCGATGAAGTCCCATTCGTCATCTTCAGGCTGGTGTTTTTGGCTTCGTGCTTCGAGGAGCAATGTCCTCGAAGCACGAAGCCGAAAACACCAGCCTGAAGATGACGAATGAGACTTCATCGAAACGTCGCCAAGACACTTCCAATTTTACGCGGGAGAAAACCCGAATAACCAAAGACCTACATACAAACACCCGCGAAAACCTCAGAAAACACATACACACACACACACACATATATATATATAGCTAAAATAATGATCACCAAGAGAATGAGTAAGAAAATAGAATTTAATCAACCTAGCTTTTGTCGATAACTCTCGACATCGTCAGGTTTAAAAGGCAAACCCTGAGAGAGAACCTATATATGTTTCCGGCTCTTGTGTTCGTTCCTTAATTTAAATTTATCTGCTGCCCGTCTCACTATCCAGAATGGGGATCTGGGGTTGAGCTCCACTTGGGAGTACAGATGACCCTCAACTTAACAACAGTTTGTTTAGTGACCAAAGGTACGACGGCACTGAAAAAGGTGACTTACGACTGTTTTTGACACGTATGACCGTTGCAGCGTCCCCGTAGTCAGGTGATTGAAATATGGAGGCTTGGCAACTGCATCATATTTGTGACAGAGACCGTCTCCTGGGGTCGTGGGGTCATCTGACAGGCAAAGCAGGCTTGCTTAACGATGTGTTACGAGCTTAATAACTGCAGTGATTTACTTAAGGATTCTAAAATGAGGCGAAACTCGCTTAACAATGCGCCTCGCTTAGCGACAGAATGTTTGGGCTCAGTTGCGGTCGTAAGTCGAGGACTGCCTGTCTCTTTAATTTCAGCCTCACGCTTGAACTCGGCCTTAATGGAAGGAGAAAGAGCTTCCTAAAGGCCTGGCCAGACTTAACGCTGCCCTTTCCTTGCCCAGCAAGTAACAGATGGTCCTTTATGTTCTGTTCCAAGGGAGATTTGGGAATCAAGCAGATCACTTCCTCGGATCGTTAGCGTTTGCAAAGACGATGAATCGGACACTGGCCGTGCCTCCCTGGATTGAGTACCGGCATCACAGGCCTCCCTACACGAATGTATGTTGATTTATATGGTGCCTGTCTCCTTGCCAAGCAACTAGATCAGTGGTTCTCAACCTGTGGGTCGGGACCCCATTTGGGGTCAAACGACCATTTCACGGGGGTCGCCAAACAACGCAGTCCGCCATTTTTTCCCCCTTTTCCTTAGCTGTGCTACTCCCTTTTATTCTATTGGCTTTTGAAAGCCAATAGAATAGACTCTCTTGAATAGAGTCTAATTCTATTGGCTTTCAAAAGCCAATAGGAATTGTCCAGGCTGTCTCTGCCCTGCTGAACCCGCCAAAAGTCCCATTCTGCAAACGGTGCTGCACCAGTTGAGTAGTCCTCGACTTACGACCGGTTGAGTAGTCCTTGATTTACGACCGGTTGGGGGTCGCGGCATTAAAAAGGTTGAGAACCACTGGATTAGATGGTTGGATTGAATTCAGAGCTTTGGATGTATTATTTATTTGGTTTTTACCCTGCATTAATTGTTGTTTATAAAAAATTTAAAGTGGTGAACCTACCTACTGCTACTTCCTCCTGTTTTCCTTGCAACAACAACAAACCTGTGGGATGGCTTGGGATGGCCCAATCACCCGAATGGCTTTCACGCCTTAGGTGGGATTAGAACTCACCGCCTCCTGGTGATTGGCCCAAAGTCATCCAGCCAGTTTTCATGCCTAAGGCGGGACTAGAACTCTTGGTCTCCTGGTGATTGGCCCAAAGTCATCCAGCTGGTTTTCATGCCTAAGGCGGGACTAGAACTCTCGGTCTCCTGGTGATTGGCCCAAAGTCATCCAGCTGGTTTTCACGCCTAAGGCGGGACTAGAACTCTCGGTCTCCTGGTGATTAGCCCAAAGTCACCCAGCCGGTTTTCATACCTAAGGTGGGACTACAAATCACCGTCTCCTGGTGATTGGCCCAAAGTCACCCAGCTGGTTTTCATACCTAAGGTGGGACTACAATTCACTGTCTCCTGGTGATTGGCCCAAAGTCACCCAGCTGGTTTTCATACCTAAGGTGGGACTACAATTCACTGTCTCCTGATGATTGGCCCAAAGTCACCCAGCTGGTGTTCATACCTAAGGTGGGACTAGAATTCACCGTCTCCTGGTGACTGGCCCAAAGTCACCCAGCTGGTTTTCATGCCTAAGACAGGACTACAACTCCCTGTCTCCTGGTGACTGGCCCAAAGTCACCCACTCCGCTTTTGTGCCTAAGGCGGGACTAGAACTCACCGACTCCTGGTTCCCAGCTCAGCACCTTAACTGGCTCTGATGTACCGGTGGAGATCATTGCAAGCTCCTTTTTTGAGACCCCTCCCCTACTCATTTCAAGACTGTATCCCACCTGCCCATTTGTCCTCTGAGGAGGAAGTGGCCAGCTTTTTATTAAACCATGCTGTTATTGGCTATTATTAAGTAGCTAATATGTTCAGTGTTTTTGTGTAAATATGGGTTTCTTTTTATTGCAGCTCCACGTTCCTTACCAGGAATATTTCAAGCTGGCCCCTCTGCTCGAGTACCACCGCGTGATTAGCTTGGAGGAGTTTATGGAAAAGCTGGCACCCACCCACTGGCCTTCTAGCCAGAGAGTGGGGTATTGCTTTGAAGCAGCAGCTGAGAGAAGTCCTGACAAAAAAACCTGCCCTATGAAGGTAGGAAGATCTGGGGCAATTCAAGAATTTTTCTACTTCTCCCCAACTAGACTTTCTCAGAAAACTGACCGATAGGTGAGGAATCTTGACTGACAGCTGACGCCAGGGATCTTCCAACTTGGCCCTTTGATGACTTGTGGATTTCAACTCCCAGAATTCCTCAGCTAGGCACGTGTGCCTGGCTGAGGAATTCTGGGAGTTGAAGTCCACAAGTCATCAAAGGGCCAAGTTGGAAGACCCCTGGTATAGACTTTAAGAGGGGTGGACTTCAACTCCCAGAATTCCTCAGCCAGTGTGCCCGGCTGAGGAATTCTGGGAGTTGAAGTCCACAAGTCATCAAAGGGCCAAGTTGGAACACACACACACACACACACACACACACACACACACACGGCTTATGCAAACAGAAAAAAGTGTTTTGGCCAAGCCACAGAGTCAGCCATCAGGAACAATAAACTGAGAGAACCAGAAGCAAGACCATTAAGGATGACGGTTGCAGTGTCCGTGTGTGTATGTATGTGACACGTGATCCCCTTTTGCGACGTTCTGACGTGCAATGTCGATGGGGGAAGCCAAGCTCAACAACTGGGTCGAGAAAAGTCGTAAAATGAGGCAAAAAAAAAACTTTATTTAACAAATATCTCACTTAGCAACGGAAACGTTGGGCTCCATTGCAGCCGTGCGTCGAGGACTTGCCTGTCTGCAATTTTCAAGGAAAGGGCCTGCCCCCCCCCCCCCCGCCTTGCTTCTGCTGTCGTGGATGGACCTTCCTTTCTTTCTTTTTTTGCAGGATGGGAACCCCTTTGGCCCTTTCTGGGATCAGTTTGGAGTGGAATTTGAGAGGTCGGAGCTGTTCGGAGGGCTCTCCTTCAGCGCCTTTTACAAGGACAACTGGAACCGAAGGTAGCAAGTGGGGAATTGCTGACTGGGCAGGAATGATGATGATGATGATGATGTTGGAAGGGACCTTGGAGGTCACCTAGTCCAACCCCCTGCTCAGGCAGGAGACCCTATACCATTTCGGACAAAAGGCTGTCCAGTCTCTTCTTAAAAGCCTCCAGTGTTGGAGCATTCACCGCTTCTGGAGGCAGATTGTTCCACTGGTTAATTGTTCTGACTGTCAGGAAGTTTCTCCTTAGTTCCAGGTTGCTTCTCTCCTTGATGAGTTTCCATCCATTGCTTCTTGTCCTGCCTTCAGACGCTTTGGAGAATAGCTTGACTCCCTCTTCTTTGGGGCAGCCCCTGAGATACTGGAAC